AATTTTTAACTAACTGAAGGAAAGAAACAATTATACAATAGACTTCAAGAACAGATTCTGTTGATGCACCTATTTTTACAATAGAACTGATTTGTGAATAATTATTTGATTTGAAAAAATGTGTGATAATTGCACTAATCTTAGGTCTCTAGACGTGAGGTTTTATAGCTATATTTTATTACATGCATTTTCTGTAAATTGCTGTCTTCCTTAGTGTATGGATTGTTATATCCATGGAACTGATGGTCACTGTACATGTGTTGGTATATCAATACTGAGTGTGAGGAGTGGTACCTGTGTATGGGTGGGGATGGTGAGATCTGTCTGCTGTATAATGTGGTAATGAAGCACGTTATTGATCCACATCACAATTAGCTTACAACTTGATACCTGACACTTCAATCTCACGCCTTCCTCAGGTGTGATCTCGTCAATATTACAGAAAACTTAGCTGACAAAGTCAGTAACAAGCCATTCCTGTAGCCCTGTGGAGTTGACAAGTTACAAATGTGGAGTAATCCTTGTCTCGGGGTGATCAGTTCTAATTGGAGTTGAGGTTTATCTGAAAGGAGGGTCTGAAGTTCATCTGATGGGAGGGGATTCTTATCAGAATCATGTCGTAGCATACACGCAGCATACACGTAATGTGTGCAGGAGTGAATTTCTTTGCCGGCTCCATCATATTTTTACAGTCGCCCTTAGTCATGCAATCTCTCCGATATGCATGTTCATTGTAACATATTCATAAAATCTCTCAAGCTAGTATACTTTCCACTTCCTGCTTGTAGTTAGCACAGAAAGTCTGGCAGTGGCATTGCAAATCCTCAGTCTTACCACTGTTGGCTTGCTGTGAGTGGAAAGCGTAAATACTGTATTCATGAATTCTTGTCACAAAGAAAGTCTACTCTGGGCTATTATCTGGCATACTAAATTTTGTAAAGGACATAAATATGAAAAAAAAAATCAATGGTATATTGTATTGTACGTAAATGGAAATAACTTCAGATGGAAGAAGTGGGGACGTAACTATCAAATGACCGAACTAAACTATTGAACATACACAAGATGTGTCGATCATATGTCATTGATAGAAATTGACAAGAGTGGGTTAAAAAATGATTATGTGTCATTCTACATTGTGACAACTTTCAAAATGATTTAATGATAAGATTTAATTCACTCTTTTGTAGGCGTTTACTTCTCTATTAAGGAACCAGAACTTTAATTATACATATAGTATACCCAAGTAGTTTTCATGAATGCAATGACATGGTAACAGGTTGTGTCTTGGTACGCAGAATTAAGGTTCGACTTTGTCGTATAAATGATCTGCTTATATAGGTGGGATGTTCCTGATGGATTTTAATTTTACCCAATTAATAAAAGACCTTGAGCACTGTGGTGAACCTTTGCATTTTAAAAAATACTAAACTTGGCAGATAAATGGCGAATATGGCGTTCTTTTCAAAGCAAAATTGTATTCATAACCTTTTTTAGGGGGAAATTGGAGACCCACAAAATCAAAAGCTCAAATAAAGATTCCTTGCATACTTGAAGATTTTCGATCACATTACTCACAACACTGCCTCAAATATCTGCATTAATAGAATAGAATAGAAAATGTTTTGTAAGGGGAAACTTGATTAAAATTCATTTAAATATTACAAAACTTTTTAATTCAGTAACAATATCTGGTACATATTTCATAAGAAAGATGATTCTTGAATATAAGATATGAGTATTTTGAAAAAAAACAACTGAATTGCAAATCTCATATTTAAGTCCCCATTTGCACTATGCAGGCATGCATTCTGCTGATGGGTCTCTGACAGACAAGGAAGTAATTATATAAGTGTATTTTCCATGGCAAAAGATGAAAGGTAGATTTCAGATGATTCACTTTATACATTTAATTGAAAATAATTAATTAAAGATACAATCTTAATTATATCAACTATTTCTTATCCATTGCTGTGGAAACTTGTCATGCTTTTCCTAAGTAAAATATGCATGATGCCTTCATTGTAAGAAATTCTTTTTAATTGCTGGTTTAAGTTTGTGCACTGTTGAAAATCGTGTCTTTTAAAATGGATGTGCTGACAATATAATGCAGATAGATGGTTTTTGGAGTGAAGACGTGTCCAACCTCATATCTCAGTTGTACGATGTAGGAAACATGAATCATAATAAGTTGCCAACATGGCACATCTAGTGAGGGGGAAGTGCCACAAGACTTAGATAGACTTAGATAGAATCTAACTTTAGGGTTTGTAAATGACATTAAGTGCTTTGTGAAGAAAGATGCATGCTTAAAAAAAAAAAGAAAAAAGCTTTTAATTAAATTTGTGTGGATCCTACCTCATAGCCTTATCTAGTGTCAGAGATTTGGTATCTCAATTTGATTTATTTGTGTCAAATACGATAGTTGTCACCCTTGTTGTATATATTATATGATATAATCAATTTAGGATCATTGTGTTGAAGGGAAGTCTTAAGACATGAATATATTTGAACCAGTGTACTGAAATTGATATCAAGAAACCGACTCCAACAATTTTCATAAAATCATTTGAAATTGTACTACATGCAATTTAAGATTTCCTCGCTATAAGCAATATTTCCATCTTGTGTCATTAAAATAATGCTAATTTATGGGGTATTAGATTTTCATAATTTTTCATTTGTAAGCTCAGTTTGTAATATTTAACAGTGTATCACAATGTATGCCATGATTTTCATGGCTATCACTTACTTAGTTGTATCATTTGCTGTTTTCATTCTCATATGACCATACTAATGTTGAAAGTGATACACTGTTAATAAAACGACTCTGTCTCATATGTAGGAGGGTTACAGTACTAGATTACGTTGAATACATAAAAAATACAGGTAAAACATGTATGACTTGCAAAATAGGAGAACTTTTTCTGATTTTGCCATGAATAGGAGGTGTAAATCCTAGGATCTGTGATCCTGGGGAAAATCTCAAGACTAACAATTCAATGACATCAATATCATTGTCGGTCTAAGATGATCTCATGGCCAATTATGGAAAACTTGTAGTTTGCAATTAAGTTGGCATTGTTATAATTTCTTATTTTCTCTTATTAAGATGTTGAAAGTGAAATACAAAATATAGGAAATCTTGAAATAAGTGTGTCTTTTGTACGGCAGTGACATTGTCAAACTTCAGACACCTTGAAGTTGTCATTTTGAGTTGTAATGGTAATGTTAATGAACCTTAGGCTTACGTTTCTGTGTTATCTTCCACGTAACACAGGTTTGTTCTCAAATTATGTTTATCCCACCAAAAAATCCCAACAACACGTTTTTAATGGTCGTTACACCATGTAACTGAGGTTTTGCCAAGTTTAAATAGTGATATAAACTGGTAATGTTGAAAGGTTTCACATGTTATGTGTTTACTGGTATTTTAATGCTGTTCACCTGTAAGTAGCAGCAGTTACCTGAGATACACCTGGTCAGGCCTTCAGGCTGCTTGTTAATGCCTAAACACCCTGAATCTGACATTTACTGACTACCGTCTCTGTATCAATTTCACAGACCTGATGGGTTACCGAGATGTATCTAATGATGAACATTACAGACAGTTTCCCATTGCTTCCTTCTAGAATCAAATTTGAGCTGCATGAGGTGGCACCAGGCTATCAATATTGGAGTAGGTTTTCTCATATTGATGAATTGACAGATCTGCTAGCAGTTTGTGTAATATCCCATCACATTGCCTCGATCTGTTTGTCCTATCAATTATTTATCTTGTTTAAATCCATGGAGACTTTGCCTACAAATTTTTTTGTCATTATTGATGTTGAACGAAACCGTATGTTTAATGATTTTCAGTGTGTTTGCAGATCAATTAAGAAAAAATTTAGAAAATATTTTTCTTGTATACATTGTTTTGAACAATTGATTGGGTTCTCTGTGGTGTTTATTCTGTGAAATTTTATGTTTCAAAACACATCATCTCTTAATTAAAGATGTATATTATCTGTAGAAGTCCTGTCACCCAATCTATCACTGTTAAGTTGTTTACCCAAATCATTGTGGGTTTTATGTGTTGATGTGAATATAAATTATATGAGGAGAGCCAGAAGATTGCTGAATTATATTTGAGATCAGGAAGGTAACATGATTTATAAGGACTGGGCTGCAGATGTTAGCACTAACGGAAACATACTTAATTTGTAATACAAAATATGCACACAAAGTAGTCATCCTTTTGTGATATGAAATATACACACAAATTATTCATCCTATTAAATTAGTTGCTGGTCAAGATTATTTCTGACTAATGAAATCCTTATATCATCATTACTGGCCTATAACTAGTGTCCAGACTTGTGTATAAATAACTTAATATATATATGTTTGATTTTAGTAAATGGATTTTGACCATTTCTGCTAGATTGCCCTTAACTGTATAGTGTTTATTATTTTGGTCTTTGTGATCTCTGTCAGAGGTCAAACAATGTCAAATAAAATTTGCTTATTTGTTTATTTTATTGTCCTGTCATCAGCCATGGTCATCCTTAGGTCAGCTCTCCATGTAGGTGGTTGTTACCTTACTGAACAACATACAGGAGACCCTTAATATTCTATCCAAAACAATTAGGATAAAGTATCTTCCTAATGCAAGGACACAAATAAAGTACTTAAACAGCAAATGCATATTGGCTTTTAAAAAGGGAAAACATAAAACCATATCATTATTTGTCTGAAATAATATATGCCTAAGAATGTCATCATGAAGTTCAGAAATGATGGTTCATGAATGAGGAATCGGAAGTCATTAGAACTCTTGAAATTACGAAATGATCATTTGATCTAATGAAGCTACTGGAGTTGGGTTGTAAATTATCAAAGGATTGTCATTTTATGATAAACTCCTGCAGATTTCCTTGTTTTTTAACAAATAATGACTGCTTTGTAAATGACATACAATATCTTTTTATCTCATATCTTTTGTCTTTTCTTTTCAGATGCACCATCCAATACAGATGAAACCTGCCGACAGTGAAAAAAGAAACGGTATGTCAAATTATTTCTGGATGTAATTGGACAATTTTCTGTCAATTCTTTTGTTGGTGAAAATATTAGTGTTCAGTCCTAAAAATAACCATATATGTTTTTGAGTGTCTCTGAACTCCGGGGAACTGAAATAGCTTATGAGAAGTAATAAGTTCTGAAGTTGCGACAGAATTGGAGAATGACAAGACAATGTACATATATCTGAGTATTCCAAGGAAAACAATATTTCAGGGATGTAACAAGTGTGTTCATTGCCCTGTGTTAACAAGCTGCAGTGATGGAAAATACAATTATTTTCCTATCACTGAACATACACACTGAGTTTGTACATCTGTAACTCGCATATATATCAAGCAGGAAAACAAACCATGGTCCTCTAACTCTCACTTTTGTGATACATACTGCCTCCTACATCTGATGCGTTGCTGATGGAAAAATGAAGGACTGCATGACAAACACTTATACAGAATTATGATAGAATGAGTTACAACAAAAAAGTTCACTTAGCATATCTGAAGTAGTGTGGATGATTTTTTGTGTCTTTAACCTAAACATTGCTAATATGTTGTACTTTTATAGTTTATGGATAAATGGAGGTAATGAAATACAACCATAACACACCTTGGCAGTTTCTGTATTTTGTTTGCTACATTTTTTACGGTTGACCGGTTTCGCATCATAGGCGATGCTTCATCAGAACTGTTTGGTACAATCAGCATCAGAACCGTTTGGTAGAATCAGATACAGAGCTAAATCAGAACCGTTTGGTAGAATCAGATACAGAGCTGAAGTACAATAGAGGCAGTTTAAAAAGTTATGAATAGATGTGTAGCTTCAGGTTTGAATTTTTTTGGTCCCGTTTTTTTTTTTTTTTTTTATTTTCTTGTAAATAAGACAAAAGATATATTGGAGGGGAATATGGCATTCCACCCCTGACTTCTGAAGGAAAAATATAAATAAAAAAAGATTTTGAGCCAGAATTTACCTGTGGTAAATAAAACATGCACTTTTACTAGACTCTGATAGACATGGAACTTAGTATTTGATTGCTGAGCTATGATGAAGCAATACCTGTTTCAGAATTTAGCATATTTGATAAAGATGTATACTATTTTTATTTTGTAGTTTTAGGGGTAAAATCTACTTTAAACACTTGCAAAATGCTTCACATGTGTTGGAAGAAATTCATTTTCAGTCCCTGTCTGATGAATTAAGATTGAAAATAAAGGGCAGAAAACAACAGAATCCAGAAATAACCTTAAATCAAATAAAATCAAACCTAACGCCATAAAACATAGATAATGAAGAACTATAGGAAAAGAACTGGTATGAATTCGGTCATATGGGAAGTGTTTGTTGGAGAGAGAGGTTTAACTATTTGGCAGTTTTGCACCAAGTGACCCCTGAAATGGTGTAGTTTCTGTCATGGAGATATGCCTCTCTGATGTTAGGAGGATAAGGAAGGAGGCTGGAGGTTTGATTTACAATCCCCACTACACTCCCAACTACACAACCTTGTAAGACAATTAGTGGACATGTGGTCAGAGGCATGCTTCTGTGATCTTAAAGTGATGTTTTAGGAAGACTTCTTATCGGGATGCTCAGATCATACAAAAAGGAATTTGGGTATCAGTTGTATTTTGAGAAAAACGGTCCTAAAAGGAACAGGCAGAATTATACATTATGAAGTATGTTTGTAAAGTGTTTTGTGTCATGCACCTTCAGTTAACATGTACTCTTAAATTTGAACTAAAATGCTGTTGTTGTCAGTATTACTTTCTTATTTTGCTGTGTCTTCATTTGTTATCGTTTTGATTTATTTTTGTGCCAGATATGTTATGATGTATTCATTTCTATTGATATGGAAGTATTCAGGTATAACCAGTTACACAAGCTTGTTTAGCACTGTAATAGGCAGTTATTGATGTTGTATATAACTGGAAAAGGGCTAATTTCAGGTGATGTTGTACGACTGTAGACTCAAAAACCATCATAATGACTCCTTAAATTGACAAAATCTCCCAAAATTCATCAAGTTTTTACTTAATTATTCATATATGATGTAAGGCCCCAGAATTCATTAATTAGAGGGTCCCAGGGAAATCATGTTTTGTTGTCCTGCAATAGAGAGTCCCAGGGAAATCATGTTTTGTAGTCCTGCAATAGGTCCATCTCCTGACTTTAGAGGCTTAATATGTATTTTTTCAACCTTGAACTTGCTTCATGATGAAATTGTGGTTTTTTAATTTTTCGGGTTGACAGGGAGAACACGGTTTTCTTAAAATTGATGTGATATGCATACATGCTACTGTTACTTAGTTACTCATAATAAAAGCACAAAATGATGTATTACTATAATTTGTAAAGCGATGACATGTCTACACACAAATGGATGAACTGACAAAGTAGTACTTCTACACACTGTCATATGTCAGTTAAAAAATTTCTCATTTTCAAGGATCAAATTATGTATGTTACAAGGAAAAGAATGTGATTGTGTATATTTATGTATTGTGTCTTAATTCTTATTTTCTAACCTGTGGAAGTTAGGAATGATCTGTAATTTCCTTAATGACTTTTTACTTACGACACTTGATTTATTTAAAATGCCAATGAGAGATGGTGTGACACGTTTGTTTCCTACCAGAGAGAGAAAATGATTAGATTATGTATATGAAAGTTTTCTCTATATACCCTCTGCCTACCAATTACACCTGTTGGCTTCCAAACAGTGATGCCGTTGTTCTTTATTTGTAATTAATCTGTACTAGGTTATTTTTACCTGGTAATAGTCTGCGTATAGACTTAAGGGTTCTGCTGTAGTAACAAAGGAGCTGATGATAAAGTCATCTGGTACTGACTCACCTTTGTAACTGCATCCAATTTTCTAATGGAGGAATCAGTGATAAATCAAGGGTTATTTACTACTGGTATTGGGTAGTTTACCCTATTAGCTCCAATTCCCCTCTGCAGAATGCTCCCCTTGAATCATAAAATGTATCCCCCAATTCTACTCTTTAAATTACGGTTTTACTCTTTGAATTTCCCCTATTTCAACAGAAATTACTTTTTGATCTCGCAGTTTCATTGTTTTTGAGTAGAATTTGGATCTTGTACATTTTCTGTTATAAAAAGAAACTTCCATTATTTGAAATTTGTTTAAACAGTCAATCACAAAGTATTGAAAAACTATAAATTGTTTTCAGCCTCGGAAGCATCGTCCTCGGACCCTTTAGAACCCAGGCTATTTTACCCTCAGTCTCAAAAAGAGTACTTTCTCCTATATCCTAGATTGATCCCTGATAATAATTTCTGTCTGAGAAAACGACATACAGACTACATTTCATATTTGAAAGTAGTTATACAACAGTAGAAAATAAAATAAACTGTTTTATTAAATTGTATGTGACATTCTGTAAAAAAAACTTTAAATACATACATGCACAAGATATGCATATGGTAGCTTTTGATTTTAAAACTGATATTGGCTGTTTGAAGTGGTTAAATACCAATAATACTAATCATATTTTGTATATTTTCAGAGGAGAGAAAGCTTTTTGTTGGGATGGTGTCAAAGAAATGTACAGAAAATGATGTGAGAATGATGTTTGCACCGTTTGGGACGATAGAGGATTGTACAGTGTTGCGGGATCAGAATGGCCAGAGTAAAGGTAATAACGCCCACTGAGATCTGGACAGAGATCGCTGTCTGCAACATATTTTACAAAATACTGGACGTCAAGTAACCTCCTATCAAAATTCTATTTAACATAATTTTTTTATTATCGATTCTTCCAGTTTTTTAACCATTATGAAAGACCTACAAGTCATTTTTAAAGTGAGAAAATACAGTATACCATATTTTCTCGATTTTAAGTTGTAGCTTCTATCGTTATTGGTTGTTTGTGCGACTTATAAATTCATGAAAATAAAAAATTGGCAGAATGGCTCAACAAATGGCAGGAATTAACAATAAACCATTGCACCTTGGGAGTGATAGGTCATTGGGTGAAAGGTCAAAATCTAGAATTTGAAATAGTTTTTTTGTTGTCTGTTATACCAAATAAACTCCTTAAAGATAATGGTTAACAAATTGTAAGAAAGGGTGCGGCTTATATTTTTATGTGTCTAATATGTCAGTCGCATCTGACAAATTTTATAACCCAGAAAATACAGTACCTGATAATTATAGTAATTTAAGTTGTGCCTTGTATCTGTTACAAAATTTCACTTTACCATGAGAAGTTTACCTCGATGTCATGAGTCATACATGTGACAGATCCTGGTTATAATCCTATAAGTTTACTATGTTGACGATATGTCAACATGATACTGTATGTAAGGTTAATGTGCATGATTTGGTATAACATCTGTCTCCTTTGATTCAAACAAATGTTTCAAACCTAGAAAATATCCTGATACAATGATAAAAGCTGAATGAATAAAAAACAATAATTTTATTTGAAAATGATCAACATTGAAATAGTGGGACTGCTCCTGGATTCGAAATCTATATTTAGTTAAATCCAATTAACATTATTATTTGGTTAAACACTGTGTAGTGTGTGCAGAACATGAGCAGGGCAGACCGTTGATATATTGGCAATGTACATGATCCTCAACGATCAGGGCCTAGTGTTTGCTGGGTATTGATTCCATCGTCCAGTTACCGTGGTAATGGTTCCCTGTCATTGGCAATAGGTGAAAATGTCTCCTCGGATGTAATAGGTGTTATGGACGGTTCTCATTGTTTGTGAAATAAGCTTTCCACACTTTAATCAGGTTTCTTGTTGCTTCTCTGTCTAAATGTCTCTCATACAGACAGTGATGTCCCATGAAAGATTCAACTTTCTTCAATTGCATTGTACCTGGCTATTCTGATTTTTTTTTTGCATAGCTTTTACATTTACATCTTGAAACATAACTGCAAAGGACAAATTGGCATTTTCTCTTTAAAAAGTTTCCAGTAAAAAAACTTGCACTGATCGGAACTTAACACTGTATTTGTTCTTTATTAGTTTAGCTTTCTTCTAAATCAGATAATTAAAGTAACGATGCTTATAAGATTTTAACTAGATTTAGATACCGTCTGAGGGTTTGGATATTTATATACAGGCAGTACCGGTTGATTTTGGTTTTTGATGTCATTGATTTTCTTATCTGTGCAAACAACAATGATCAATACTAATGATTTTCAAAATTCAATGATGCTTGTGCATGGTTATTAAAATTTCCACAACGCAAGATGCTCTAATGAGGATTGGAATGTGGCAGAGAAAGAAATATTGAGCTGACAATTTGTTTGACAGATAATTAATGTAATCTGGATTCACAGATCACATGTTTCACATATTCCACATAATACTTAGGGAAGCTGCTGTTCTGCCTTTTTCTCTGGTTTATATGGTTGTGAGTAGCTGTCTGCCTTTCTCTGGTTTATATGGTTGTGAGTAGCTGTCTGCCTTTCTATGGTTTATATGGTTGTTGGTAGCTGTCTGCCATTCTACGGTTTAAATGGTTGTGAGTAGCTGTCTGCCTTTCTCTGGTTTATATGGTTGTGGGTAGCTGTCTGCCATTCTACGGTTTAAATGATTGTGAGTAGCTGTCTGCCTTTCTATGGTTTATATGGTTTTAAGTGTTTGCCTGCCTATCTTAAGCTTGTATGGTTGGTTTCTGAGTGTTTTCCTGCCTATCTCTTGACTTGTATGGTCGGTTTCTCTGTCTTTGTTTAATTGGTTTCTCTCCCTCTCTGGTTCATATGTGAATATTTTTTTTGCCTGTCATATGGTTAGTTGTCTGCCATTCAGCATGACCCACACTGTAGACTTCTATATAGATTATTCTATAGTAATAAGTTATTAGTGCTCAGGTGCTATCTACCCAGGTGCTATCTACCCAGGTGTAGTGATAATGAATGGTCAGTGTTAGACAGTAATTAACACACACCACACATCAAGGAGATCCCGCAGTGATTGACAGACAGATGTGTAATCAGTGTAGAAGGTACAGAATTAGGAAACCAGGCTTGTTTATTTGATACATGGAATGCAAATCAACCCGAGTTTGCAGATTAACTACAGCTCTAATTACTACGGAGCTTTGAAGAGACAACTTTGCAAATATGTTCTGAATTTGAGACAAAAAATTGTTTCCTCGAAGTAATTACTACATAATTATAACACTTCTTGTTTAAAACAAATGAAAAACACATGTTTCAAGTTTCATTTATATTAGATGATATCAATTATGTATAAAATCCTATTTTCACAGGTTGTGCATTTGTAACATATGCAAACAGACAGTCTGCACAGAATGCGATAAAGAGTACCCATCATTCCCAGACCATGGAGGTAAGTAAAGGTTGATGACAGATTGTTTTCAGAACAAGAGGTAGGGGGAAGTAACTGGAGGTGTAGATCTAGGGTGAGTGGTACAACAGTGTGTGGGGTGTGGTTCTGTCTTTGGTCAAGACACCTTTTACCCAGTTGCACATGGATGGCATGTAATGGTCCTCTCTTATGTTGTTCACATTAAGGTAACCACTAGTTAATAACAAGGAAACCCTTGCCTTGAAATAAGCATGGCTGTTCACAGAGCAGTAAATCCAGCAAACAAATTTAAACAGCTCCTCTTCACTGCCATTGTAATTGTTCTCCACCTTTTAGCAAGGAAAATAATCTTCATCCCTGTTATTCGAACTATTTAGAAATATGATTGTTGTACTTGTGTGATGAGATCAATAGACAGCAGTTGGATAAAATGTTTGTTGTGACAAAATGATGTAGAAGGTTTATCTATTTTGATGGATGTCAAAGGAGGAGATGGTTAGATTTAGCATAGAACAACTTCTGATTGTGACCTTTGATAGGATTAAAAGGTTGCTTATAAAAGTTGTAGCTGTTTAAACTGGCTGAAGATGATATATTGAGGAAGAGCCACCAACACTGGCAAAAAGGAAATGTGTTATCTATTGAATGAAAAAGATAAAGATCACAGGAAAGAGGCTTTCTAAGGTGTTGGGTCAAAGCAATGACATCAGATGTTGTCTTCCAGTTTGGTCAACATGTGTCATTTTGGAACATCTACTCAAATAAATGTTTGCCTATGGATACCAGATTGGCCTTATGGAACATCTGTTACCATCAGACCCAGTCAATAATTCTGTGTTTGAATGTGAAGGCTGCACAGCTATTCGTCAGGTCTGTTGTCAAGTCTGAATCTGAAATACCACTGTCATTTGAGCAACAGTCTGGGGGAGATCTTGTTTACAAGTGAAGTTCACATTTAGAAACAATAATTGGGATTAATAAAGACAAATATAATCAAATATTCATCCTGCTCTTCAGTTTAAAATTGAATTAATGGCCATTTGATGAATTTCAAATGAAAAGAAACGTAACACCTTTCCTTTAAGGAAAGTTCTTTTATACAAGTTGGAGAATGTTGAAGGTTATCCTGGCAGATCGATATAGCTTTTGTTTTATGCTTATATGTGAATGGATCAATGAAGTGGTAAAGTCGGTGTAACATGCCTTCCCTGGGGAAGATCTAACAGTGTAACTGTAAACACACAACTACTACTACTACTCTGTGCTACCAGGACACTTTGATGTGCAGCATCTATCTGTTTTATAGCTATTTCAATATTTCATGAGATGGAAGTTAGTCGCATATTTCATTAATACAAGCAACTAGGTCTAAATGTGGTAGATAGTCACGCCAAATATAATTTTATTGTTGTCATTTACTTGTACAGTGAATGTCACAGTTGTACCTAGTTCAGTGCATGTAATGCATGATATACTTTCTATAAGCTTTTACCTGTTATGAAAAGCGTTCCCTGCTGTTATTATGGGAAGATGAACATTTTTTTTGGAAAGATATGACTTGATTTTGATTTCTGTGAACCACTTAAAATGATGTAAAATTCTAATAAATATTTCAAACAGAAGCACAAAATTTTGTCTGAAAATGTCACGCAGGTTTATTTAGGATATTTCTCTTGACTTCTAATTACCATATTTATTATACATTTAACCCATGCCTTGTTATAAACCCATCCGTATCAAGTATTTTAGAATAACAAACGCTGATTTATTGTCATGTAATAAACAGGTATCCTGACTTTTCAATCAATATGTGTCAGACTGATTCACTTTAATATCTAAATCTTGCACTTAATTATATTTGTATTTCTTTGTCTGGCTTGTTCTAAACTGTATCTGTATTTCTTCGTCAGATTTGTATCAAACTGTATGTATTTCTAAGTCAGACTCATTCTTAAATATGTCTTTATTTTCCAGGGTTGTACGTCACCAGTCGTCGTAAAATTTGCTGACACACAAAAAGAAAAAGAACAGAAAAAACTTCAACAGATGAGTGCCAACCTTTGGAATATGTCTGTAGGAAACAACATGACCCCACAGTATCTTTCTGTACGTATTTAGAAATATAGGCTGTAATCCCTTAAAGATATTGCTGTTTGACATAATGAACTGCAGCAGGCAGGACAAAGATCCATTCATTGCTTGAAGTCCATAGGCTTTACTTCAGAGAAACTAGTGGTAACGTAATGTCTGGTTCACCTGCTATCGGTATAACGTGACAAGGTGGGGGGTCCTGCTGGGGGTATTTAGTGGTATATTTCAGTGAGGTATCACTATAAAGTCAGCATACACCAGGTGGCCATCTTTAAATGACCATAGCTGTTGATAGGGCTTTAAATGAGATAAAAACAAAAATTGATTCCGAGTCACTTGAACTGTTATGTAACATTTGGAATTTAATCAAAAGAAATACTGCTCTTTGGCATTTTTTCAATAAAAGTATGAATGCAGAAGAAATACTTAATCCTTGATGTACTGGGATTCAGTATTACTTTTTGAGAAGCAGTTTTCCTTACACCTGTCAAATGTTTATTTCGTTCAGTGCCAGCAAATAGAGTTGAGAATTTTTTACATGAAGAGATAGCGAAAACTGACTATGACGTCTGGCAACAATGATGAATATTCTGTGAAAATATTTTAGCAGCAAATGGAATGTCAATTATATAACTTCTAAAACAGAAGACAATTGTCTTCAGATTTATGTTACAAAATCCTCCCTGAATATAAGTACATGTAAGTGCAGGCCAGAACCAATGCACTTGTACCAGAAAGTGATTATCTCAATAATAGGAGGAAATAATTCACTCGTCACGAAACACTGACACTGATCACTCGCCTTCATAAAAACACCGATCATCATTAAGTGAACGAAGAGCAGGAGGAAAAAGGGCAATTTTTCTAGGCAAAAGAAAAGTCTTAATAGCTTCATAGGAATGAGGAAATATTGCTTGATGGGTAAGAGAGTGTTGGGCTGTCAATTTGTGGTTATGTCACAAGCCAGATCGCAGGGAATCTGATGAAGGAGTGTCGATGATCATTGTGTGTGCATAGTTGTAGCAGGTATTCTAACAAGATTCCTGTTGATGGCATTGCGTCATACATTCAACAGCTTTTTGTGTTTCTATTGGAGTTCAGTGGTGGAGCAGTTGTCGTGTAATTGCCAGGGATAGATTACTGAAGTCGCATGTTTTTAAATCTGTCACGGCCATATGGAAACAATGATTACCATGACATGCAGCAGTATTATATGTTGTATAAGAGGCAGGCAGTCTTTTGTTGTATAGGGTGGGTGACTTGTGGGGCCAGCATCATGAAATACAGCCTCCTACTGAAGGAATGACTATGACTCATTGAGAACTTCCTTCCTGACAAATCTGTTTTCTATCCAAGTGGCCCTTCCACATTGTTGTAGTCACTGGAATGTGTTTGTAAGTCATATTTCTAATTGATCATTGTTAAGAGGAAAGAGGTGGATATACCTGAAGAACATTGTGTAGCTGAAAACAGCTGTGGAGGTTTCTTAATGCAGCCCTCAGAGCCTATTTTCTATTGTGTTAGCTAGAATAGGTGTCATTCATAGACCTCTTATATGTGAAACTCCATCTAAGCATTTTCGTTTTTAGAAATTTTTTGTAATATTTAGCCATCAATGGAAAAATTATTTTAGAATATAGGAGTAAAATACAAAATGATACAAGATACATGACAAACTGGCTAAAAGGATGAGTAATTACTCAGAATAGAAATAGGAAAGTTGAGTAAAATGAAAAACTATATTGAATTGATAAAATGGTAAACATTTTCCTAATTGTCTTGGCAAGCTGAGAAGCACCTGAAAAATCATTAGTTAGTTGTAGTGCATCTGTTTTGCCTGTAGATAATGTCATACTTCCTCCCCATTACCAGATGGAGTGCAGTATACGGTCATAAGGGTATCATTTGTATAGTTGGAGTGCTCAAGGATTCTCATCAGATTAACTGAATTGGTTTTGGAAGTTGAGAGCTATGCATGTGCTACTCTCCTTCTGGTAGTTAATAGCCAGTGAGTTAGGTATAAAGACCACTGAAAGCAGCAGGAGACCTTGTCAGAACCAGGATAGAATTATGGGAAATTAACTAAAAACTCCCAAAACTATGTCCTATATCCCTTGGTGGCATTCACACACTGTTCAGTGTTCTTCATGCTGCCAGGGCACTCTAATTCAGAAACGCCATCGGCCCAGCAGCATACATCCCCCAAAAATATATGGAAAAAATATGGCTCCAGTTCAGCTAATGAGAGAAAGAGCGGTATTATATTTAATCAGGCCCTTTTAGAAAAGTGGAAAGAAATCCTAACTCAAGGGTCACTTGTAATATTTCGGTGGTAGTTTTGTGTGGTTGGTAGATTATTTCTGTGAAATGTCTTTAACAATTTGTTACCTGTTTGGTCTGTCAGATTCCAGAGATGCTTCAATGTTATTATCAGATTTGTACTCTTATACCCAGGAACCTTATATCTAACATACTCTTCATTGCCACATTAATGAGCATCCCTGGTATGAAATAAAGATGAATCGCTCTTTAATATCTAACCTTTTTGAAATGGAATATTAAATGAAAAAGTCATTCATTAGAGTATGATTTGCTTAATGCATAAAAGTTTTATGGCGCAAGCTAGTCAAAGTAACATGGCAGTATACATGTAATAACCTAGCCATGAAAATCCGTGTGAAGATGAATTGGCCATCCCTCAAAAACATTTTCGTTAAGTGGCAAAAGGACCGAAAAAATATTATATCTACATCCAGATAGTATGTCAAAGAAAGTTTAATGTCTTAGTCATTTCAAAAAAGAGAAAAACACTTCTTCAACACTTTGCAGGTTTATTAAGGAAAAAAACTTGATGGGGGGGAGGAAAAAAAAACACCAAAAAATAAACAAAATTTATGTCCATAATCATTGTTTGATAACTCCTAACTTGAAAGACACTAGCCAGTTAACTCCTTGGAAAATTATCTTAAAGAAAAAATCCTCATCTTTACAACTTTGACTAAAAGATAATAAAAAAAACCCATAAAACATGTTTCTCAATGTTTTGATTGGCACAGCATTCCTGATATCCTTTTAGTGTGAAATAAAAATCAAAATATGTTTTTGAATATATATATACAGGTGGTTAATGGACCAGGTATATTTTTTGTTTAAGAAAAATCCAGATAATAGATGTTGACTGTAGGTCCATGTAACTGAGTGAATACAGAAGAGGACAAAGCCACTACAAAGAGAAGGAAACAGTTGCTCGTCTGTAACCCATCTTCAACAGTTCAGATTCAAAAAAGACCTGGCTTAACTTTCAAAGCATTTGATTTAACATTATGAAAATTTACCTGATATTTTCCAGTCTAGCTAGGCCTTCTAAGGCTTGTAAGGATAAAAGGAGCATGTTCTTATCCTCATAGGAGACTAGAATCTACCGCCAAAATCATGTAGTCTTTCTTTTTTGTTCTGACTCTATAGAATATGAAAGCGGGTTGCTATGGCTGTTAGAGAGAAGATGTGGGCGAGTGGGTGTATCATCTTATCATTAAGCAAAGGTGTTCAAGTGCTCTAGTTTTATACAAGGTTGTTACTGTGGAAGTTGATAAAGACATAGATGAATACTTGTGTTATTTAATGAAATCAAGCTATAATTTACGTATCACAGGTGTAGGATGTGAAATAAGAAAAAAAACATAAAGAACGATATGATATTGTAACAGTATCGTTTTATATGTCTACTGCTTAATAAAAGTCAACAAAAAGAACACCAAATCATAAAAAAACAGTTATCACTTGATGCATATGATGCATGTGTATATACTCTCCTCAGTGGAGTTACATCCAGTTAAGGCTAGTTATTGGTAAATGATGTCTTTTTTTCAGCCTTTTGAATCAGAGTGTGTTATGAATCGGTATTCAGGATCTGTGCCCCATCCCCATCATTAGCCGTAGAAAACAAGCACTTTGCATTAGTATGATATATTTTGAATTAATGAGTGTAAGAAAACCCAAAGTCAGCATCGATTACCACACCTGTTCTAATGTGTACATCAGGTGTAGACTGATTAATGATATCCACACAAACTCTGGCAAGGCTAGAAAATCATGTGTTATTTTACTGTTATACATAATTGAACCAAGAATCAAAAAGGAAATTTTGTAAAATGTTTTTGAGGTTGAAGAAGATGTCCAATGTTCCCCATTCACATAATTATGATTGTTGCCATACATCTATGTGCACCTACAATATAAATGCTGTACCCTGCCAAAGGAGGCTTTGAAATGGCATTGCTTACCTAAAGGCAAGTTCTGGTGAGACAGGCATTAATTTGGCGTACATTCACCACATATTTTGCAAAATCAATTTGGGAGTTCCCACAATTCTAGCTTACAATAGTTGCCAGAGTTTGAATCTAAGCTTTTTACCTTCGTTTGTTTTATAATCTGTAAAACTGTTTTATAATTTGTAAAACTGCTTCACAAGTTTCCTTGATTTTTCTGTAGTTTGTTTTGACCACTTAATGACAAGTTTTAAAACCTGAACATAAAATATTCCTAAGATTAAGGTAACAGTGCTTTCAGGATAAGTTTGAAAAATAGGGTAAAAGTATATGACAAGTGAAAATAATTGCGTGTGTAACAAGGTTGAGACTATTTATTGTAATGTTTGTTTAAGGCATACAACTGATCAGTTTACAAGGCTGAATGTGTTGCATTTTTGCTGCTTTTTTGAGGACATATTTGTATTGATTGTTAGATATTTCTTTACTTTGGTTCTACTGTTTCAGCTGCTGCAACAAGCTGCTGCTGCAGGGGGAAACATGGGGATGCTAGCAAACATGAACAATATGGGTAAGTGTTAGGATTGATGGATGTTATATTACCATCTGGCAGTTAAATTGTTGTACGATGCATCACAGCTGATGTTTTAACATTTAAAATTTTTTAAAGAAGTTTTTAAAAAATTTCAAACATTTCCTATGTGGAGTTAAAAGTTTTTAGACGAGGTTTTGCTTCAGAAACGTAATTATTTATTGTGATGCAAAGATATACAATGTGATTGAATGTCTATGCATTAGTTGTGGCAATTCTGAATAATTGTATTTCATGCCACATCAACTTTATTTGTTTTGAAATATAAAAAATGGTCTTGAAACCAAATTTATTATCCATGCCATACAAATATTGTTTTAATGTTAAAGTTGTGATGTGATTGCATCTAAGCTAACAAATAGCAAGAAATGAGTGAGTGTCTGTTGGAATTCTTGTTGATATGTTCAATATCCTATATGAGGTTCTTTTGATTGCTTGATTCTAATCAGGTTTATTACGTTTTGGAGTACTAGTCTGGCAGTAAGCGGGGAAATACTTGAAGTTTTGTGATACAAGTGCTGGTTTGTGGTGAATTTTGAGCTGTGTATGATTCATCTGTACATATTACATACACCACTAGTTTGGTAAAGTCTAGAAGATTCTGATGAACAGGAATGATTTCAAAAGAAAACATTTTGTTTACATGCACAAAAATATCAGAATTTTAATTCAGACATTGGTCACCAGGAATATGACCGTGTTAATAAAATACTTTGTAAAACAACATTAGAGGGTTTGATTCTAGATTTTGTGACCTATACGATCATGTTTGTACTTTCTAGGAAAATAATAGGATAGAAAATTGTTGACCTGAAATAGATATAATATGATAAAGAGAGAAATGAAGAATCTTCTAGATTTTTCATATGTTAGTAAGGAATGCACAGGGAGTTCAAAGTTGTAAGGAAATTCATCTGTTTCAGTGGAATATTTTTTTTTTTTTCAAATTTCTAAAAAAAAAAAAGTTGGATAAGGTATAAACTGTATGCAACATATTATGACATAGCATGTAATAAAGTTATTTTGTTCATCATTTAAATATCTATAGCATGCTGTAAATCAAGATGTATGTGTTACACATGTGAAGTTAGATACCGTTGTCGATGATTTGGCAACATAGAATGTGGGCGGGGAAGGGATAAGGAAGTACTGGATTGCTCTAAACCACAACATGCCAGCAAGCCTTCATATCAACAATCAAAACTGATAGAAATTTACAGCTTTATCATGCTTTGATGTCAGGCCAGAGTACTGCAAATTTGGTCCAAAAATTAAACTGATGTTAGAATGCTGTATTTAAGGGGTATTTTAAATATTTGAAGCAATCCTTTTGAAATTTGAACTGGCTGCTGTTCTGTTGTAAGGATATCATAAATGAATTGTGTTTCAAGAAGAGAATGTGTTCAAAATAGAATTGCTAATCTTTGCTATTTTGGATACATTTTGCTAATGATGATGAAATATTTGAAAAAGCTTTTTGATAGGTGAAGTTGATTTAACATTCATCAGGTAGAATCCATCTATAAACACATGATTATTAATAAGCAGAGAAAAAAATGATTCATGAAGACAGTTACAAAAATTTGAAGGTAGCACTGCACTTCGTTGATTGGAATATCATATTCTTATCATGTGTACGGATGCATTTTACCATAATTTACAAAATGTTTCTAACAGTATGCTAAAAGCTTTGAATTCTGTGATCAATTCAATCAGTGTCCCAGAATACCATTTCAATGATCTTCGATTTGGTATATGCGGTCACTTAACTACCATGCTACAGCTTTTTATTATAAGTTTTTTCTGAAGACCAGAATTATTAAATCAGAATTATTCTCAAGTGAAAGTCATTTCATCCGATTGGATGAGATGGTCGTTTGATGCGTTGTGTTTTAATGTGGTGTTGATATGAGTGTTTTCCTTTTCCTATAGGGCGGATAAACCAAAATGATAACGGTACGGTAATTCTGTTGTAGATGCCTTTATATACTCTCACCAGTCAAGCATGAACAAAAATTTCTTTATTTCTAATGCAACTTTTCATTTTAAATTTTAACTTCTGTTAAATTAAACTTTTCTTTTGGCAGTACTCTGTTAGGAGTAGTTAATGAAGTTTTAACATTACATTAACCTTTGGAAACTGGTGTGTTAAATATGATGGGGGTAGTCTCCAAAACCATGTATTTATAAGTCTACTTTTGTATGGGCAATTCATCTGCTTATCCTTTCTTTCCAACAATTACACAATTTATCCCAATCCATATTTACCCATTAGCTTTACATATAATATGAGCATGCCATTGAGTAAGATATAAAAGCTGTCTGTTTTATACATGTATCAGAATAACTCCCAAACCAATTTTAACCATAATAATTTCAGTGTTATCGAGGCATTATGAAAGTAAGATTATGGATTATGAGCTAGATTTAAAGTGTTAAAGCCTAGAAACCATGTGGATAATGGAAACATAAGGACCTCATAGTGAAATATTGTTTTAAATAAATGGGTTTGGGGATCTTGTTTCCATTGAGAAGGCGGGAATAGTATTTTGAGTGATAAGTTAATGCTTCTTCAAATGTAAAAGAACCTCCAGTTTCCAAAGTGCGAGTAGACCGTAAAATTGTTGTCTGTACAGCACATTAATGATATCATTTATGTATGTGTTATGTATAATGGTTTATCTAGTGACAAAGCATAAGATAAAATGATGTCATATGACTTGAGAAACATTTTGATCGAAGTCGAATTCATTGCAAAGAACAAGAATCTTTTTTGTGAAACTTCATTGATTTTGAAAAAAAATTTACGGTTCCTTTTTGTGATTAAAGTTAACTTGTTAATTTATTTAAATGGTTATTAATGTTCTTTCTATGATTATATTCACTAATTCTATGTGTAATTTTAGAGTATCAAACAGAGATCAATCCATATTTGATAATTTTTGATTTGCTGCTAGTGATTAAATTACTTGAGTTGTAATTGATGTTGATTGACATCTGTCCCGGGAACTGTAACTGACCTGTGGGTACCTTATTCTGCAGGTTCTAATTCTCTCGGCGTCCAGCAATTGCTAATAGCAGCAGCTGCGGCTGCTGCTAGCAACAACCCAGGTATATATATATTGTACATTTGTAGTGGAACTTCTTTTGTATCTAAAAGTTGTTGCTTATATCTATATTTATATATACTTTTTTTTTAATTTCGCATTCTGATATTTATATTCATCCATTTTAGCTACTACCTCTCTGTCCATCTTACAACAGCCTGTGTAACTCAGTAGTCGGACATTTACCTCTAGTTACATTGTGTAGCGGAGCATCCTCTTACTGTTGTGCTCGTAGAACTTCTGTGATGGTTTTCAACACCCTGGACTTACTAAGTCTTGTTGGGGTTTTGTAATCTGTTCTTTTGACGTTGTGCAAGAGACTTACTTTATGCACTAGAACTTTTTTGTTCCAGTCTGTTTGCGAATGCTGTATATTTTTTAGTTTTATATAGTTTAAATATATACTTGACATTTTTCTTCATCAAAATTTGTTCTGAAAGGGGGATTGGGATTTTGGAATTCTTACATTTTTCGAAACGTATCCTTTTCATAGGTTGAATATTTTATAATAATTACATTAATGTCTGTTGCCCATGATAGAAGAAACTCAAGTGATCCATAGCATATTTGAAATTTTCAAGAGTTTAAAGTCTCTTGAGTTGGAAAAGAAGTTTAGTTTTAAATTTTGCACAACACCTTTTCTGTATTTTCATGCAATACAATTTTGCTTATTTCAATGCACATTTCATTCCTTATCACACAGCTTTGTAATAGTTTTCTTCTTGTTAAATATTCCTTAGAATGGGGTTGAATTAAAGCATGCAAGTAACTCAGCACTTCTGTTCAAATCAGTTTGGTTTCCTTTGTTACAAGACTAAGTTCTCGACGTTTCTCTCTAGAATTGGTTAGAAGAAATATTTACTTTGTAATTTTTCTTTCTGGTTTCTGCTTATAACTAAAACCATTGCGCTAGTATATAACTCAAATGCCAGTTTACACTTGTAACGATATGAAGCACTGTAGTGAATATGGGGGGGGGGGAGGAGAGAAACAGAGAGAGAGGGAGGGAGGGAGGAGTGGAAGAGAGAGAGAGGGAGGGAGGAGCGAAACAGAAAGAGAGGGAGGAAGGAGAGAAACAGAGAGAGAGAGGGAGGGAGGAGAGAAACAGAGAGAGTGGGAGGGAGGAGAGAAACAGAGAGGAGAAAAGGTAGAGTGAAAGGAGAGAAGATAGAGAGAATCACATCCAAAAGAACTTTGCAGTGTACCATGGTCACATTGGTAAGGATTCATTCAAATCATGCAAATTATTTTCCATATTTGACAAGGCAAATAATTCTTGTTAATCCATTGACAAAATAAAAATGGAACAATTAATGGGTTTATTTGCTTCAAGTATTATTTCAAATCTAAGCATGTGTAAATTGTGAATGCAATTTTATTAAGTTCATTTCCTTTTCACTTGCTGTTTGATTGTGTTGAATGGCTGGATTTTTATTGATTATTAATATCTTTTGTTTTATTCACTTGTGTTGATTATGTTCAGTTTGATGTCTTGTTTATTAAAATAATTTGATTTTATATGATTTTAATTTGTTTTAATGATCAGTTATCTTGATTTTAATTAATTTAAATGTACATATATTGATTTGTGTGTTTTGTTTGAATTAAAATTGTTCCTTTTTAATTTAAAATGTTCTATGTCGTCGGTAAATTTTGTAATTGTCCTGTTCTTGTATAAATGTTGACCTTGATTTGTTATACGTTTGTACTATTATAATCAAATTTAAATCACATATTTTTCTGTCTTTCAAATGGTATTGTTAAAATTTGTTGAAATTGAACATACAGGAATACATATTATGATTGATATCTTTCACTTTGCATCTGTGATAGAATTTTTTTCTTAGATTCACCATGGTTTCATAGAAGATAGTGCTAGGATAATTTCTTTTTTTTTTTCGTGCAATATTTTGATATCACTCCAAATAGAATAGTGACAGTTACAAAAATATTTCTTTTTTGTGAAACCTTGGTCCGATGTGTAATGATAAAATATATAAATGCAGGTTAAGTTCTGATTGGTTCATGATAATTGGTCATGTGTTGATTTGAAGTTTAACTTGGCAGTAGAGCTGCAGAAGAAGGTGTGATTTGATTTTGATTTCCATGTGTCGTTTATTTTGTGTCTATATCTATGTCATGTCCTACTACAGGATTGCTAGCGGCCCTCGCGGGGCTGAGCAACAGTGCCAATAACTCCACCCCTACTTCTCCCACGACTTCCGGAGCTAACACTGCCACTCGCTCCAACATGGGGTCAGGCCAAGGTACAGGACCGCGCCCACTGACTTAAGTAACACCCTGTCCACCCAGTGTACAAGCTGACCATCAGCTGTGTCAGAGCTACCTGTGTATACTACATATATATACCACATACCATACAAAACTTTTACATGTTGATTTTGTTTTTGTTTTTTCTTATTTTTCATTTTTTGTTTTGTCTGTGTATTCATATAATATTGAGATAAAAGACAGCTTTATTGTTCATATTTGATAGAAATGATTTTGAATTTTTCAAAAAAAACCAGGGAAAAACACTTTCACTGAAATGCCAGTCAGATTTGATCAAAAGTTTTATTTTGAGATTTGAAATGTTACCCCAAAAATATCTTGAGTAATATTTATAAAGCTGTGTTTTGCTCGTTTTATTTTCCACCTTTATACTGCCTGGCTATATTGTACCATTATTTTCTGTTGTTATACACAGATGCATGTTGTACATAGTTTTTGGCTGCACTCTGTTGTTTGGGCATAACTTTTGATGTTTTTGAGAAGTAAAGGAATCATCCTTGTAGTTTTAGTTCTTAATGAGCTTGAAGACCAAAGTCAAATCAGAGATTTTCGCCCTGTTGATGGATTCGCTCTCTTTCCGAAACCAGCCTTAGTATTTTCCCTTATCAAAGAAAAAAACTTAATAGTTAAATTTTGTTGCCAGTGAGCCAGATCTTTTCTTTGTAAAATACAGGTGAAATAATATTGAAAACAGAAAGAAAATATATATAGATACATTTTGAGCAGCTGCAATAAATATCCATAAGATTATCTATAATTTGGTAAGAACATTAAGCTTGGTGAAAAAGAAGAAGTTCTGATAAAACGGCAGGAAATTGGACATGTTGGTACCACCGGAGAATCAATTACAGTTTGTATTTCATTCATAATGCAATCATAAAAAGTACACAGTGATTCATTATTCACCAGTTTCTTTCATCAGCTGTAGCAGCATGGATAATTGGGACGGCTCCTTCCTGGTTATTGGGAAAGAATTTGACAGTATCTAGGCGATATGAAAGAAAAAGAAACTTTTCTTGAATCAAACCTTTGATGGTTCCTCTATAAAAAAGTGAAAGTTATGCCTTAACTAATCTAAAGCCTTTTGAAGTCTCTTCATTTCCTAAAACAGATCTGGATTGTGTAGAATGTGTTGACCAGATACTCACTGGCTATATGATGTCTGTCTTTGTGCAGTTGTATTGTCTGGATGTCCGTCACTGTTTGCATGTCTCTTTATTAGTACATTACTTTTCATTTTTAGTTTCCAATGCTTTTTAGGTATGTTTGCTGTGTTATACGTGAAATTCTAGCGACAACATTTCCGTAACATTTATCTCATCTCCACAATAGAAAGCGTATTTGAATAAAAAAAAAAAAATCAATGGTTTTTCAGAGCATGAATACTGCTTTAAACGTAACTAGTATCATTTTCAATTAGTGGTTTATGAATGAGAGTAGAAGAGATTATGAAACTCTTATAATTTCATTACCAAAACTTTTGGTGTGAAATATACAACACCAACATTGAAAATTTGGGTGGAATCTTTGTATCCACACTTCATGCAGACGTGCCACATGATATATATATACGCCTGATTAAGTTCAGTGTGCCAAGCACAGTCAGATATATTCTTTTCCCAAAGATGCACATATTCATGTTTGTGCTAAAGTATCTGAAAAAACATTTTGTGAAAATTTGTGCCTTAAAATCCATGGAAATGGCAATGTTTAAAGTAGAAATGGGCTAAAATGTATAATTTTACAGTTTGAACGTCCTGAAAATTGAACCTTTTTTCAAACATTTTCTCAGGTTGATGAAACTTATGGCTATTGTAGCCATTCAGTGGAGTTATGAATTAGGTATTAGTGGAAATATGGAGCTAGCTATGAACTTCCAGATTCCTCTAGTTATTGGACTCCTGCATGGTGCTGTCATGTTTTGAAGAATTTTACTTCAGTCATGCTTCTCTACGCATATTAAAAATTCTTACTAATTTCAGTTCAAGAAGTAACCATTTACAGTTGGTAACCAAGAAAACACTTTACTAAAGAAGAGATGTTTTCCTTTCTAAGATATATATAATATCAAAACTATGTTATTCAAAACTACATATACTGTACTGTTACATCTGACTGGAAAGAATATCTAATAGGGTTTACACATACTCTTCATGATTTTGAAAAAAAAAAATTCTTAATGTTTTCAATCAAATATCGGTAAAGAACATCAGTCAAAAATGCCAGTTGTGTGGTTTGAAGTGATGCTTACATTTTGGCCATTTTGTTTTACTGTTTTGTTTTCAAAACTGGTACAGCTTTAAAATATTAGCATCAGAAAACTCAAAATGATCTGTTGTTTAAATTTTCTTCTTTTTTTTTTTTTTTTTGTGCAAATATTTTTATCAATATCCCAATTCCAATTTTGAAATAATTTGATCTCAGATGGAATTTGATTAACTGCATGCCAGAGGAATGCATTCCAGCTTATCAATGTTATCATCATTTGCTTAATTACAAAATTAACTTGTCCTGTTATGTAACAATATGCATCCTTTGTTTCACATTATTATTTCTGGTCAAATTTTGGCTTTTACTTTTTTTAAATAATTTAATTTGGCGGATGTTTCTTTAGTTTTATTTTGTTTATACTAATCTAGCATAGAATGTTAAAAAAATCATTGTATTTATAGTGTTAGAATAATATGTTAATAAAATGCATTTTTCGAAGTATGAATGAGAATGTTTCCAATAATAGAATTAACTTGTTAATCGAACATGGAAATAAATTTGCATGTAATTTAAAAGGAATTTTGATTGATACTGAAGACAGGCTTAATGTATGAGCAGGTTGTTTTCACAGGGATGGCAGACATGAACAAAATTTGTAGATCAAAAAAGGGTGAAAGACAATCAGCACGGTATTTACTGTGAATAAATGTATCATACATGTTATTGTTTGTTTGCTTGCAGGTGATGGGGCATCAAACAATCTTCATTTGCAGAATCTGCAGAGTTTGGCAGCATTAGCTGGTGCAGCAAACAATGCAGGTGAAAATCATACCATGTTTTTAGCAAGAAGGGCAAGACTCGAGAAAATGGTGACATTAACTCATGGCTGTGGCCAGAGATTATTGATATCCCTCAAACTGATCTTCCTCTTCCAGCTTTCTAAACTGTCCATTACATAAGATTGTCTTATTTGTGTCACAAATGAGCGACAATCATGGGAAATGAAATTACATGTTTACAATCCATAACTTATAAGTTTTAGCATTATAGTGGATAGTTTCTCTAATAACATTCAGATTGGTGGTTAAATGTTGCTGTTTAGAGGTTCTAAAGAATGTGTCCTTAAGTGTTGTAAGGGAACAGATACCCAAGAAACGAAGATCTTTCATATATGTATTATATAAACCTACATCACCTAACTGGTCAGTTATCCAGTGGAGGTATTATTAACCTCATGAATGGCCCATTACTTGTGGGGGGGGGGGGGGGGGGTAATATTATCCTGTAAATATTGTACAAAAAAACTTCATATTAATATTCATTTTAGTCCAAATCTCTGGTTAGATAGCTTGTTCAGAATTGCAATATGAAAGCAATTTTTTTTATAATACTTGAGATAAAATTTCTTTTAACTAAGTGGGGAGGTGCATGTATTCAGCATTTGATACTGTTGTACATGCCACTAACAACCCAGTGTTATTTCCTGCCAAAAGCAAACTCATGTTGGGAAAATGCACATTATGAATTTGGCACAGGGTAAGATATTGGAAATCCAATACTGTTTTATATGGATTTGGTTGGGAACCACTGAAGAAGCATATTTTAGTTGACAGAAAAAGAAAATTGAATTAAGCGAAAGTATCTGAGGTCATTCGGCGTGTTTGATTTAACTGAAAATTACATGATCACTCTATGGTCGGATTCCTTTCATTTAAGTACAGATACACTGGATTTGCCTGGAAAGATTCTGTTCACAAATAACTTGGCTTTAATCACTTGTAATGAAGTGTGTCCATTCTGGGAGCTTTGAGGGAAAATCTCAACATTGCTTATCCCTTAGTTGGAGCCCTTCTTGAGTTATTGTACAGATAAACACAGCTGTAAAAATCTCAATGGCATTCTGATGCTTAAAGATTCCTTATCAAACTTCAATTTCACTAGTGTATTAATACTTTAAGATACCTGTCTGGTATTTCTTTTACGTATTTTAAGTATTTATGCTTTACCTATTTACTGGTTTATTAGCCAATTTACGGTAATGAAACTTTTTAATACTTAAAGAGTCTTCCTCTTGCTACAAAGTAGGAGCTTCATGATTCATTTTGTTTTCAATTTTACTTGAAAAATGATGACGTTTCACTAATGAATACCTAATGAGTTTACCCTATTATGTAGGTTACGTAAATAAGATTACAGAAAATGCCCGTCTTGAATTTAGTCTACCTGACGAGGTCATTTGAAATTGTTTCTCATCATAACTGTACTGGATGACTTGGTTTGACGTTAATTGAAAACAGGAAATGATCTTAAGATTTGATTGGAAGTTCCTCATATAAGTTGAAAGACGGCATTGAAGTAAGGCACTCTTTATTGTAAGAAGATAAAAATGTTTTTTGTGTTTTTCGCAGGTGCCCTTAACACACTAGGGATGCAGAATTTAGCAGCATTAGGGGCGACAAGTTCAGCCAATGTATCTGGTAAGGTTTTACACCATTAATTAGTTACAAATAGACCCTTTATCTAAGGATTTCCAACGTGTGCATTTTAGAAATTCCATTAATTATCCTGGAATGAAAATATTTGAAGATTTTTGTAACGGCAAACAGAGATGTTCTGCAGATTTGTATTTGTAAAGGACAACATAATAGCTAATGCTTGTTTTATGAATTTAATTTTAGCCCTACTATGAGATCATTTATTGCTTTATATATATTGTGCAGTTGCAAGATAATGGAACGTTCTATATCATAAGGTCAAGGTCTCCTATCACATTGTCATGGTAACAAGGGCAGTAACTCCCTGTTTAGGATCACATGTTCAGTCACAAATGTCAAGGTCAGAAGATCAATTTTAGAGATAGAAACCACTATTTCACAAATTTATGGTCACTGGACTGAAAGAAATCCCTGCATCTTCAATTCAAGTTTCTTTCTTAGTAAATTTAAGCCATTATTCAAACTATATTGTGACATGAGAAAAGTGAAATGAAGAAAAAAAAAATCTGAGGTTGATCTGTACATTCTTGAATAGATTAAAATGTATCTGACAACTGACTTTGCTAATAAATAGAAAGGATCATTATGATATGTTATTTTAAGATATGCCCTCTCTCGCGTTTTAAATGGGGAAGTATTGCAATAGAGTTTTTTTACCATATAAAATGGGTGTTTCAATATTCTAGTTCTACACTCTTGAACATTGTGCCAAAACATTGTACAATGCATGTGCGACTGGTGCACATGATTAAACTAGACGGATATAAAACTACTAACTTTTCCTCCATATGGAGGCAGCTTGGCCATAAATGAGCAGAACTTTTTTTTGGATCGTGCACTTGAGATGGGAGATCTTCCTTGTGAGCATTCAACCGTGATAGCCATATCAGACAGAGGCATGTTGCCCTGTGTGTTTATTTACAAGTCTGTGTCGGGTTCAGCTGTCTTGTTAGGTATCACAGATGTAGTATGACCTTGATATACCCTTGTTGTTCTTAATCACTGACTACCCAGCAATCTGGCTTCTGAAACTGTACACGTTCCAATTTCTCAATCCATCGAATGCTTTTCTGAATCCATCAAATGCTTAAGGTAGTTGTTCATAGATTGCTGATATGATGTTGAAATGTTTCACAAAAACTTAATGAGGAAAACTTGGGTAACATGCTGTAGATAAATTGTTTAATATTAAAAGCATTAGGAAAGAAAGAGAAGATATAATTAGGTCTAGAATGAAGTACCTGATGAGGTTGTTGTACTAGCCATGGGAAAGAAGACCTAGTGTAATTAATGTCTATCACGTTGGATATCTGGCAAAGATAAGAAAGGTTACAGAAATTAAAGGGTTGACTTGACCTGTATGTTTTGGCAAAGTTTAGCTTATCATCGGAGCTGGCAATAAGAGATGGCTGGGCAAAGCTTCATGCAACCTATGCCAAATGAACAAGGTTTTATCCGCTCGTATTTGAATGTAATTAGGTTACTAGCTTCTTTTGCAGTTAGATAACAGTTAAATTTGTAATTAAGGACAGTTTCTGTCTGTTGTAATTCATGTGTTCAGTTGAAAAGAAAGAAAAAGTGGAATTTTTGTCTAGTTGAAATATTCAATTCAATGAACAGAAATTGTTGCTAGGTAGTTAAGGTGACAACAATAGTTAATTTTGTAAAATGTCTTCTGAAGAAATCATATGTTGGTATATGTTGTTACGTTTTATGTGTTGGTTGATCCGCCATTCTTCTCAGACTTGTAGCCTCATTTCCAATTATTAGAACATAAATTGACTAGGTTGGGATCTACAACATAAAGCAAAAACAAAAGAATGGGAAAGGGGTGGGGGGGATCACATTTAAACGTTCTGTGTTTGATCGATCAGTAATCAGTCATGGATCATTTAACAGTGATGATTGATGACAAATATTTGATAGAGCTTCCCACTAACACTAGTTAGATGAGTGATTTGTTTCCACAGCCTTTCCTCACCGTGGTGGAGGACAGTTAGGTGAGGCCCTATTACTGTTGTCAGTAGTACTGTGATACTGTATATATAGACTGTTGTACATTGCCCTCACAGGCACCAATTGGGCACACCAACCACGAAATTCTATTGTGGTGCGAATATCACCTGTTATATAGTAGTGAATTTGGAGATGTTTCTCTGTGTTATATATAGAAGTTATCCCGGAAATTCACAGTTTATGTTGTGTATATATATTTCTATTTTTAAAAACGGAAAGATTGTTAATTAATATCAATTCATTGTGTTATTTTTTTGCCCTGTTATCTGTGATGTGTGTTGTGTGTTGTGTATGCTAAAATTTCTGTATTGTGCACTGTCTGTCAGTGATTGTCAACAGCGCATGGAATTTTCTGTTCAACTTGTATATAGATACAAAAAAAAACCAGTGCTGTATAACATATGGACCAATATTGGCAATAATATTCACTTGAGCAAAAATAAGTTTGGAAATAGAATACAGCCCATCGTAAGTGTTCGTAATAGACCTATTGAGTGATGCGTCACTATTGTATATAGGTAGGTGGGAATGTTGAGTAACACGTACTTGTAAAGTTACGTAATCCTGGGTACCACATATGGTACAGGCTGGTATATGAAGTGTTTAAGCATGTTATATTGGGTGCTGTCAATTACATGTAGAGTATCTCTATATTCTTTTCTCAAGTGTCAGTTGCTGTGATTAAGGGAAGTAATTCTTTTCATTATTTTTGCTCAGAAAACATATTTTTAAGATATTGAATGTCAAATTAGGGTAATGTTTCCTTGCAGCACTGTTGCACTGTTATAAACATCGCAGAAAAACATACTGCCATAGAACCTCAGCACTCTTACATAACATAGCTCCTGTTTTATTTGGCCTTGGTTGTAAAGTTAACAAGAAAGTACACTTTATAGTTAGATTTGAGTTTAAAGATTGTCATTATTTATAGAGTATAAAACCCCAAAATTATTCAAAAGGATTATTTACCTGAAACTGCAAAGGTAATCAATTTATTTGGGATTGAAGTATGTGATGTTACATTTGTTTGTGTGGATTTCTGTTGTGTAGTAGATTGGCCAGGTACCTGGTATTGTTTAATGTGGAGTGTCATTCATTGTGACAGGGAACTGTTTAGAAATTTCTTCAGTAATTTGATACAAACAGAGTTTGTTTAGGGGCAAGTATTTGACAAATTTTTGATCTGGTACAATGAAGTCATTATAAAAATGATTATAAAATTTTAATTTCATAGGATACATTGATGGAAATCTGATTATCACTGCTTCTTTTTCTCCCAGCTGAACAAGCAAATTTTTAGTTGGTGTTTTTCCCTACCATTACAGTGGTATAACATTTGTTTATGATGTGACACCATTGTCATTTATGTGTATCATACAGTAATGTATATGACTGCATATATGTGACAGGAGCCCAATTCTGCAAAAAATGTCACCTTGGAGATTGATTTGCAAAGTTTGTCTAGGAATAATGTACACCTGTGTTGTAAATGTGTTGTTGAAATTGACTGATTCCTTGCTCTTCTTTTTCTCTGTTCAGGCATTAATTTGTTAACATCTTTTGTTGTTATATCTTTACAGGTTCATTAGGCACTACATCTAATTCCCTGGCTGGAATTACAGGCCTACAGAACTTTGGCAACAATAACTTATCGTCCAGTGGCATGGCTAACAATATGAATGGTTTAGGCTCCAACCCCAGCTCGGGTATGGATGCCCTTAGTCAAGCCTATTCCGGAATCCAACAATATGCAGGTTTGTCGGGTTTACTCAGTCCAGGTAAAGGTTCGTTTCATCTACTTTCTTCATTTTTTCTGACAGGTGTGCTGGTTGGATGTTTGTGCTTGACTTCTGCTGTGGTTGAAACCCAAAGTTGGAGTTATTTCCCTTGATTGGGAAAATTCCACACATCTCCTTCAGTTGCAGTTTCTATTTAACACAAATACATCAACAGAAGCAGTCAAAATTTGTAGTTCTTGAAACAGTCAAAGGGAGATAACTCTAATATCAGGCTGTCATTTTGCATCTTGTGGATGATAGTGCTGAGTTTTTGTGGAGTTTAAAAAGTATATTGTCTTCTTTATTTTTTGCAGATCACTAACCAGATAATTTGTCAGAGTAAACAATCAACACTCTTCACTTAGAACCATTTAATAAAATCACTTAAGAATTATAAAATTTATAAAAGTAGCAAGAAATTATGACTATAAAATCACACACATACACACCTGTTTGAATTCTTGTTTTATATATTGCAGTGGAATAGGTAATGATCAGCTGGAATCATACAGTGATTAAGAATGTTTTCGCTTTCACTTGAACATTGAAAATTAATGTGAAATGAAATTGTGTGCATTCCTGATGAAGATTGTTGATTAATTGTGACAGGTTTTGGCTGTATGTCCGTCTGTTCATCCTCAGCTGATCTGATTGTTTGAAGCACAGTATTGCTGCTACAAAGCCATGTGTCAGACACTTGGACATTCAATTCATATTTTTAAAAAAGTACTTTATCATAAAGGAAGTCTAAATATTCGTTAAAATTGTTCCTAAATAAATTTTGTATTTCAACTATTTTTTGTGAAGATTACTTGTATAAAATTCTCATAGCATGGCAGTTAAATAGTCCAGATGTCTTGACACATTGATGGCTATTTTACACCAGTTGTTAATCTTACCTTTGTAGAACTAATTTTGATTGTTGAGAGAAAGAAAATCGGGTAAAAAAAAGTGTTTGTGAATGCTAGTTATGTTTACTGTGGATACAAAATGAGAGAAAAAAAAAATGCATTTTGACATAAAAGAAGAATAATAAAAAACAAACAAATAAAAAAAAAAGATGAAAAAATTTATCAAAATTAGTTTCATGTTCAGTAATACACTTGGTTGTAGAAAAAAGAAAACTATTTCAAGCTATCTGTGTGGAAGTCTCTCTTTATCTCCAAGGCAAATTGTATAAAGAGGTTTTATGAAGGCATTAAATAGGTTTCAAATAGGGAGAGCTAGCTACTGAAAATGTGGGGAGTTGATATGTATAAAGTATCAGGTCTCTGGGAAATGATTGTTGTCTTTCTCTGTCCATGTGAATGTGGTTGCTTTGTCTTGGAGGGGTCAAAGGAGGGCACGACTGGAAGTGACAGGGTATGTGTGTAAATTTAAGGGAATGTCTTTTAAGGGGGCTATAAAAAAGGTAGGATTGTGCCTTGAGGATCTTGGAAGGCCTTGAAATAGTAGCATTTGGGGAGTTTAGGGAGAAAGGGCTTGTGTGGAGAGGGAGGGCTTATCTTGAAAGGAAGGGTCTGTCTGGAGAGGGAGGGCTTATTTTGAGCGGAAGGGCCTGTCTGGAGGGGAGGGCCTGTCTGAAGGGGGAGGACCTGTCTGAAGGGGGAGGGCTTATCTTGAGAGGAAGAGCCTGTCTGAAGAGGGAGGGCTTATCTGGAGGGGAAGGGCCTGTCTGGAGAGGGAGGGCCTGTCTAGAGAGGGAGGGTCTGTCTGGAGAGGGATGGCTTGTCCGGAGAGGAAGGGCTTGCTTTGAGAGGGAGGGATGATCTGGAGAGGGAGTTATTGACTGGAGATAGGGCCTGTTCAGAAAGGGAATGCCTGTCTGGAGAGGGAGATTATATGATTATGTCTGAGGAGGAGACTTTTACTTGCGATGACTGACTGATAGATACACGCCAAGTGACAGTGTTCGTTTTTGCCACCCAGTTATCTGTTGGTTGTTTGGTACATGCGTTCTGAACTAGTGTTGCATGGGGTTAGGCTATAACTTGTGTGTTAAGTCTTGAGTCTGGTTTGTGCAATATCAAGTCTGCATGACCCATTCATATATAGCTATGTGTACTGGCTCATCTTTTGCTGCACACCTTGGGTGCCCTATAATTACCATAGTTTGTGTATGCACTTTCTCTTCATCTTCTTCAAAACATCATTTTTGTTTGATTTATTTGTAATTATTTGTCTTATTCAATATCTCATTTGAAGTTTAAAAAAAAAAAAAAAAAAAAAGAAGTAAAAAAATCATTCAGTAAACATTCTGACTTGATATTAGTAGAAACAGATCCATTGCCTTAAGTACTTAATTTATTCTAATTTATTTCTAATGTAGAATGAAAACAGAATAGTAACCAAAAATAGTATTTGCACATTTATATAACCTTTGCTTCATTTTTTATAATTCCAAAATTTGAAAAAAATATTTTCAGTTTTATCAATTTTCATGATTTCTTTATCCATTTGGAATTTCATGAAATGGAGGTTATGGTATTTGATCACTGTAACTTTTGATTGAATGGAATATATTTGGAAAATATGGAAGAAGTGAATTTTCGCCTGTATAAATGTGCAAATGAAATCTTGTTTGTTGTAATTGTTTTAACTTACTTATTTAACGTCACACCACAATAACAGATCAACATGGTGGTAGGCTGTGGATACAGTGTTACCTAGTTGTATATACTTATGTGGCATATGGCTTTATTACCTTATACATAGATTTCCTGTTTTAACCTTCAACCTGAGCTGAGTTGCCCAATTGCTTCAACATGTTTTATACCTGTTTGAAATTATACAATTTTGCATTCTGCTTTAAAGTGTGGTGATGGTCAGTTGTTCAATGTTATATTTCTTTAGTAAAAAAAAATTGGTCAAAATCTGCCATATTTAAAATGGTCAGTGTGTAATTTGTGGATTAAGCCTTTACATTTGACTGCTTTATCCATCAGTGTTGGGAACTTTCGATCTAGTGATGCATGTATACAATAGATAAGACACAAAAAATATATATGTTGAACAGGACCAGACACCATGATAGAGGAAAGTTTGATTAAAAAAAGACATTAAGAAAAATTGATATATGATATTTTTTCATAAACATATATGCTGATAGAGTGTATAAAATTCTTATTTCTTGTTAAATCATTTAATAAAACTTATTGACAGAGATGGTTTTTCCGAGAAAGAAATCTGAAAATAAAGAAATTGAATTGGATTGGATCTAAAGATTCTTTTGTGGAAAATAAATATTTTTGTTTGTTTACTGAAATCTACCTGTGTAAGTAGTGAAGTAACCATGGTTGTGGTTGTTTTCAGCATCCTTCCCGAATGCCTTTGGTAGCCAGACAGCACAGCAGCTGCAGCAGGCAGCTGCCAACTCACCAGCAGGCAAACAAACAGAAGGTGAGTGATCTTGACAGTGTTTATGCTTATATGTCTTTGTTATACATCCCAGACATTTAAGGAAAGATGACATTTATACTGATAGAATTCCTAAATACAGTAATAATGAATTATAGATGCAGTAACAATGAATTATAAGATATATTCACATTATTCATATTTCAGTAGTGTTGACAAAGTTACTTCTTGTTGTTGATAACTAGAATAGTATCCTGAAATTATCATTTTTTTGGTCATTAAGTAATTTTTATTTTCCGTAGTCATTTTACTGTAAAGCTAGATCACATCAACTTTGAATAATTTACTGACATAAGAAGTGAAATGTCTACTGTGATATATAGGTAGTTAGTGGTGTTTTACACAGAAAACAGTCGCACTATACTCCTGAAAGACATGCTATGTTGAAAAATCATGTGTATGGTTTTTATGGAACTTACAAAATGGAACTGACACTGGTGATAGATATGTATTTTGTTGCTCTTGGCGTGTGTATACCAGTGTTGGATATTAATACCTTGTCCTGTGTACTGTGTTAATGAATGTTTGAACCGTTGTAGAAATTGTGTTGATTATCTCATGTACCATATTTCCTTGAATAGAAGCTGTCTCAAGAAAACTGAAGACCGGCCTCTATTCAAGGAATGAGGGTAAATACCAGTTATATAACTACTAACTCATTCTTTATATATATTTATATACATATAGCAGCCAGACATTCATTTCTCCATGAGGCTGACAAGAAAGCTTATCTGATTGGTCAGAACATCTAAATAAACCAATCATTAGGCCAGTTCAAACTCTGCCTTTTGAAATGTTACAAAAAATGTAAAAATCTCTAACAATTTACTAACATATATGATATTGACCTCATTTATCTACAAGAAATCATTCTGTATTCCATGACCAAAAGTTTTCTTTTATAAAGAGAAGTAAATTTCAATGTTCAATTTATATTTTAGGGATAAAAATAATAATTATTTTTTTAATTAAAGATATTTTATTATAAGGTTTCTGTGTTATACAATATCACAGTAAGAATCTTATGTAGTCCTGTAGTACAGAATGTGTCTATGGAATAACTTGCTTTAATTCTGCTTCTCTCTTGCTGCTTTAGGTCCTGACAGCATGCAAACCTATCACCTCTTCACATTCATCTTCATGTCACCTCATTTCTTCTTTCTTCAATAGATTAGAATGACGATGCCTTCTGCACATCTAGCGACCATTTCCTTGTGTCTTAGGCAGACCCGGTGCTGGCGATATGATTTTAAAAATTGATTTCTGTACATCAGTCACACTTCATAGATCATCTTTAGAAAATTATATTTAATCTTTCATTTTGATGTGAAAATTAAAACATTTTTTATTTGATTAAAACTTTTTTCTTCTGAACTATATGGTTGATTTCAAAGCCTTTATAATGGAAGTGCTAAGTATATGAAAAATTGAATTTATCAAGTATAAACAAGACTACTATTAGAAACATTATTGTATAACCAGTCAACATGGAACATATTTTGCTAGCAATTTCCTACCTAAAACGTATGATAAATATTAGGATTTCTTTTTTCACAGTTTTCAAAATTACTATAAATGGGATAATGAAGTTCATTGCTAGTATTTGTAGATTTCATGCTAGAACTATATATGATATTTATTTGTTAAAAGTTTTATCCAGTTTTTGTATTCCACAGTGTTTTTATTCATTGATCCAGTCTTGTTTCGTTTTGTGAAGTGTCCCGTTAGCAAGTGTCTGCCTTGTATTAGTGTCGGTGGAACAGTGATGTCAAGCTTTACGATTATGTGTTATTGCTGTGTTGACAGGTCCAGAAGGTGCTAACTTGTTCATATACCACCTACCTCAGGAATTCAGTGACCAAGACCTAATGCAGACCTTTCTGCCCTTCGGATCAGTGATTTCTGCTAAAGTCTTCATTGATAAGCAGACAAACCTCAGCAAGTGCTTTGGTGAGTCCCTGATTCAGGATGAACCTACCATAGAATCATGTTAATTCACAAAAAGGGGATTCTGAAAGATTAAGCTTTCAAGCAACGTTTAAAATAGCTTTCAAAATTATAAAAAGTGTTTAAAACCCCATTAACGTCATCATCAATCACAAGTCTGTTTCCAATACTGTCAAAATGTTTAGTTATGAATTTTTTTTAGTAGGAGCCTTTACTAACACTACTCTACTGGTTGGCAATAAATCTCTGCCTACTCTTTAAGTCGTTTACTTGGATCATGTCCGTCCTAAAAGATTGTTTTGTCTCTGTTGTGTTTTTTGTATGTTACGTTTTGTGTTATGCGTAAGATGTGCATACTCATGATTGTTGTTGTGATGTGTAAAATGGCTGATATTTACAGGATTTGTGAGTTATGACAACTCTGTCTCGGCCCATGCTGCCATACAGGCCATGAATGGGTTCCAAATTGGAATGAAGAGGCTGAAAGTGCAGCTCAAACGACCAAAGAATGACAGCAAGCCGTATTGATAATGTCCGACTGTTGTAAGTTTTCAGCTTCTCTCTATTGACTGATGCTCTAAACACCACCTATCATTGCCAGTTGTTCAGTAACTTAATGACAAAAAAAAACAAAAAAACAACCCAAATCCTGCTTTTAAAAAGGCGATTGGTATGGATCCTGTTCATAAATTCAAAAAGATGATGAAAGATTCCTAGAATGAACAGCGGGCAATGAAGGAAATTTGACAAGTTTGAATAATGTCTTTTCCATGTCAAAGGTAGGTGTTCATGGAATGAGCTGGATATTAAATTCACTGATAAAAAGGTAAGAAGCTCCAACTTTGAGGTGAAAATTTATTTTAGTTAAAGTATTTTCAGAATTGAGTCTGCTGATAAACTAAGTCCAAAAATGTTAAGAATGGTGGGTTTTCTGTTTAGATGAAACGTTTTCATAATAGGTTCTGCCGTAAAACTTAAGTCCAAAGACTTGAGAATGATAGGTTTTCTGCGATTGAGCATCACAATGTGTGACAGGCATCAAAGGTAAGGCAAAGGTAGGTTTTTTGTTTTCTGAATACTTCTACCTCCTGTGACCAGCCAATAGTCGGGGAGACAAGACAGCTCAGCAGTATGTTGTACTGGCTACAAGGGAAGGTGACTGGTGCAAGATGGCCGCTTTGCTGGAGGAGATGGTTTTAAGTTGTTTGATGATGTGTATAATACTTGCCTAGGTTTAATACTGGGTGTTTGAGGCTTGGACTATAGGTGTAATATGTCTGTGGTGTAACCCATGTTTTGTACCTGTGTGCATGCTCTTGTGTCACAACTACACCAGCTTGATGTGCACATCCATTCTCTTAGTACATCTGTACTCCAGATTATACATATCATACATATATTGTTCTTTTTCTCCCCAAACTACAAAACAGAGAAATTATCATTTCTGATTGAAGTGTTGAACCTGATTTAGAATGGGATTTTATCCAGTATACAACATTTTGATTACTTCTACTCAACTACACTATCAAACTGAACATTATGTTGTTAGGCCAGTCAGATCAATGATATACAATAGAGGGAGAGGATGAGGCATTACCAAACTTTTGAGAAGAAAATTTTATCACGGTTTTGGGAGAAAACTAAATAAGTGTAATTATAAATGGTTGAGTCTGATTTAAACTTATCCATTGTTTGGCAATAATATTATATGACAAGTTATTTGTTGGAGAACTTTCTTGTAAGGGCTGTTCCATTACTAAATTTAAGGGGGAGAACAAGGTTTGTGAGTCGAATTTCCAGGGGATCAGGATTTCCAACTGAACTAAAAACCTCAATCATATACTCTCATATTTGGAATAGCTCATCAGTGCAGGATGATGTCATTCGTAGTTGTCAACATGACATCTGTATGATGGGGAACAAATAAAAGTTTACAAGAAAATCTTTACAGTATTTTGAACTGTATAAAAAAAATGTTTAAATGATTTGTACCATAGGGAATCATTTTCACAGTTAACATTAAAAAAGTTGTTTTACTGTGAAGAGATTTGTTCCCCATCATTTTGTGCTTCTACTAACACCCTTACACCAGCTGGGATTGGGATGGGAAGGCAACCTTTGTCCTTCTTTAGTGTGTTTGTTTGACCTTGTACAACATAGATTCACAAATTCTGTCACCTTGAAACAGAGGTTGTGTATATCTCCTCCCTTGTTGTGCTAGTTCATGTTGCTATGAACCCAAACTTTTTTTCTGTTGTTTTTCTTTCCTCTGTTTTATTTTGCAAGGCTCTGCTTGACCCTTTTCTAAATTGTAAATTTTCTACTGTAAAAAAATTGCTAAATAAAACTTCCCTCTTCAAATATTGATATTGTAAATCTGAGTGTTATGCATGTATTTTAAGGTGTTGTGCCGATAAAAATATAAGTTTCAAATGGAATTTTTGGTATTGATATATACCTACAGAGAAGTAAAGCTGCTTTTAATCTAACAGAGTATACAATGTAGCTACTGTCAAAGAACGACATAATAGCAAATGTTGGTTTGGGCATGGAGCATGTGGGTCTAATATGTCCCTGCAGAACTAACCAAATATCTCGGTATGTGTTAACAGTATTGTTGAATGCACATTAGCTTTGTCCAGTCAAATAAAGACCAAAATCATAGTTATATGTGACCGTTTTCTCCATTATTTCAGGTTTGTGATTTTTGAGACGTAAAAACATTTGCATGAGTAAGATTGTCACCTTCAATTGCCAAGAATATTTCTGGCATTTAGCTGATATGATAATTGTTTTTGTGTTATATACACTTTAAATGGTTCTTGATATGGCCATGTTTGAATTATCCTGCCCGAATCTCGGACGTCCTTTCAGTTCTAGATCTCTGGACTCATTAACAATATTTGCATGTGTATGTTTGGCCATCATCTTCAATCTTGGATGGTTTAGATTGTCTGTTCCGATAAGGAAAACAGTCGAGTGGATGAAGAAGTTTTTTTATTGTTTATTATGTTACCTTCGGCATGCTTAACAAAGAGTTTACAGAGTTGTTAGATATAAAAAAGTCACATCTTGGATTCAAGGTTAGGTCTGGACATGATTTCAAGGTCATTTTCATTTCTTGGAACCAAGGCAGTTGTTAGATATATTGTTCTTGAACTTTGGTCACTCTTCCTATTGTTTTTTATTAATGGATTCCAGGTTGTTGCTGTGAATTTGAATACAGATACTATTTTAACATTGCAACCTGTTTGGTGTGAATTACATATAAAATATATTTATACATGTAGCAGTAACCTTAAACCACCCTTTTGTCCCCTTACTTTAACAGTTGACCTCTATGACCTTTGTCTTGGGTCAAACCATTAAGGTGATACAGGGATAGAAGGATGGAAAATGATAACACTCAGATTGAAATATACAGTGAAAACCTATCGAACAAAATTCAGCTGGCTAACTTTGAATGTTGTAAAGAATGTGGTTGTATGCCATCTTTCATCAAGTGTGGGTTTCCAAATAAATTAAACAAAAGTTTAAGAAAACTTTTTTTCAAAAATCAGTATTTTTAAGCGAGACATCCAAGGTTTTGGTGCCAGTGAATATCACAAAAATACATTTTTAAACAAGATTGAAAAAATGTATAGAGTTTACCGATAATTTTGGTCAAGCAAGCCTGTGTAATAATAAACCATGGTAGCTATGCCATGTATGTAAGCCCGCCAGCGAGTTATAATTAATTTCCTTTGCTTCTTTCTACGTAGATGACAACGTGGCGTTGACGTGAAGTGGTGTGTCCCCGTGTCCACGTGCCGTACGTCCTTCATGTTTACATAACTCATCGCTAGCCTGTATGATTGACAAAAACTTTAATGTCGCATAAATACGTAAGTGTCTCTCAGCAAACCACAGTCCATCCAGCTCCGTCTGTATGTCAGTCAGTCACGCCGGGCTAGTGGGCCCATGGTCAACACCGACACACATATATAAATATACACTTACAACTGTCGTTGTTTGTTGTCCTGTTCAAAGTTGATTACATGTGCAGATTCCTGTAACCAAATCACTGGGTTGCCATATATTATTTTGGAATTATGATTGTATGACACTGTATTGTAACAAGAATTGTCATTTTTTTTCTGTCTTTTAATGTAAAGAGTATTATATTGCCAGTATAGGTACATGTATATGTCGGTGTAAATATATATAGTACAAGTATGCTTTTAGATATAATCACTTTAAAATGCATGTATTGTAATTGTCCGTTTTCTGTGTAAACATGACGAGAAATACCAAAGAAAATTAGATTAATTCTCTTTATATCAACCCTGGCGTCTGTGTGGTGCCTCTAGTAAAAGTTATCTGGACGTTTCAAAGTTATAGATGTCCAGGTACCATAGTTGCATTTTATTAATCATGGTTTTGGAATGATGTAACCCTTCCTTGTCCCTCGTCAATAGCAGACATTTGTCAGTGAATCATATCTATGTCATTGCTATTTCTGAGGGTTAGAAGGTACGTTTACCCAATGGTCTAGAAAATACCAATACACAATGTCTTTATCAACAATTATCTTGTAGTGTTAAATAGAAAATGTTGGACTGCCATGTATGTATTTGAATGTTGCCATTTATGTTGATATTGGAATAACTTTGTCTTTTCTTTTTCTTAAAAATAACAAATTTCAGATTATTTCTGAGCTCAGTTTTGACTCACAAACAGATTTATCAATATCATTGTGTATGTATTTGGATCTCCATGGGTAAATTTTATCCTGTAAAAGCAGCAAAGAAATAGAGGACAACGTATTCCTCTATTCCATAACCTGTAAATTTCTCATTATCACATCAAACATTACATTATCTTCAAATGTTCTGCAATTCCACTAGCACAGAAGATCATAACAAATGGTTTCAACATTAGCCCTGTATCTGCAGTAGCTTGATCATTGTCAAATATTACCCACCCATGTTTTGCTTAATCAAGCACAGTATTAATATTTTATTGTCAAGTAAGCATATGTCCTAGGCTATTGAACAGTCTTGTGAAGTCCTTTTGTGTCATGGGGGATTGGAAAGTTTGCATCATATAGATTGGATATAAATAATATTAAGAAATAAGTTATTTTGATGTGGGTGTAATCGTTGAAAAAATGTGACAAGAAGGAGAGGAGAAAAAAGAAAAAAAAATGGTTTTGATGTGTATCGTATTTAGTAAAAGAAAAGAAAATGGCAGAGAATCTATGTTTATATATGGTTTGTGATGGTTGTGGTAATGAGAGATGAGATAACTATTCCCCATACCTAGTTATGGCAGCCCAGTGTTTTTGTTCCATGGCTGTTTATCAAGTATCTTCAACTAGTGCTTATAAGCTTACTATATCGTAACGTGTAGTGCCAGGTGTTTGTTAAAACGTTTCTCCATTAGTATGTTTTTTGTGGTCATTGTTTGCAGTGTTTTAAACAAAAATATTGTAAAGAACGATTTCCTCTTCATCTGTGTTGGAAGAGAGAGAGTAAAATATATATATATTGTTATGGTTTTGTTAAACGGTGTGAGAAGAATCAAAATGTGGTTATTTCTTTTCTTAAATAACCCAATTTCAATATTTTTTCTTCATTTTTTGTTTGGCAAGTATTGCACTTTGGTGAATGTTGATGTTTTGGTACACGGTTTTGTGTCTTGATATTTCAAATTATATATCATAATATATCATGTGAATGGTGAATAATGTTTTGGTGTGAGTTTGATATTCAAACTAAAATCTGAATCTATTAATACTACTACTAAGTTGAGCTGTTTCTGGCCGTCAATCTCACTGGTAGTACTATGTAGCATCAGGCGTAGCACAAAATCTGTGTTTTCATTATCTGCGTACAGAAACCATAGCCTGTCATGTTTTGCGCAACTTTTTCAAGCATTTACCTTGATATTAGGAACTTTCACTCTGTTGTTTAAATATGACCCTCTTTAAAACGAAATTTGGATCCAAATAGCTAGGGGGGGAAGTATTTATTGTATGTATTGCGAGCAATAAAGCCAAGCTGTATTGCTGTTCAGTAGAATTACAAGGAAAGAGTTTTATTCTTCACTGTCATGCAATATACAACACATCCTCTGAATTTAGGACAGAACCTATTGGCATCCCGGGCTTGTAGAATAAACGAGTTAATTGACTTTTAAAGAAGTGGACCTGTGCCTCAAAACTTTGACATAATGGTCATTGGTAAAGTACCCTTTTCACTAGTAATTCTTCTTTGGTTCAGGAGCACGTCTGTCAGTTTTCTTGGTTGGTTTGTCATCATTTTGTGACGCTTTAGACATTGAACCATATCTATGTTATGTGTATAACTGTGTGTACGAAGCACAGCTGTGATCAGAAATGACAATCGAACGTTTTTGTGTTATGTTCACTGCTGAACGTGATTCCTGTCGGCCTGCCACTTGGTTTTCATCATATTTTATTTGATAAGCTGTTTAAACGATTAAGTTTATGATTTTCTCTACGAATAAACACTATCATAAAAGATATACAAGGTATTCATTTGAATATCAACTAAGGATCTGTTGAAAGGGAGTGAGGTAGAGAGAGGGAAGATGAACATTTTTGTAGTTTTAGTTATTCACTTCATCTGCATTCAATTTATACTCGCACACTGTGAAATCAAATCATGTGAAAGAAAGCAATATTTCAGCTGATAATGATTGTAAATCAAAATGGCTACAAATCAAAATGGCAGGTTGCTGGAGGTTTGATTCTATCAGACGTAAGTGCCTTATTTAGTACTGTTTCCCCATGTTATCAATACGTCAACATTAGCAGTCTGTTAGATAGCGAATCACTTTTATATCAAATTGACAGAAAACAGTATAGCTAATAACCTGTTTTGGCGGCAAACAAACTTGTAACCTTAATAGTAGTGTTTAAAGATTGTTACGTGAACTGTAGAATATTTTTGAATTTTCAAAATTCAACCGTTTTGTTCAGATTATTAAGTTTTCTTATATCCTCAAATGACTGTTTGTGAAGTTTGTCCTTGTTTGTTCATAGATAAACAAAACATTCTGTGATAATCAAGACTTGACACAATAAAGAAAGACCTTTTTCTGACAGGAGATTCCTTGGATTTCTGTGGCTATATTTACATAGAGGAGTCACCTTTTATATTTAGAAGCAAGGGGGAATCCCTGTTGTCTGTATATAGTGTTGGGGGATTCCTTTATGCTAAGTGTGCCAGTGAGATTGACTGCCAGTGATGCTGAAAGGTACTCAGGAATACGTGTACAAAACTTGTGTTTGTCGGTGAAACTGTCCATGTATTCAGTAGTTACAATACTGTCACAGACAGGGATTAGTTCATATCTATCAGATAAGTGTTTAGTGTCCTCTAATCATTGGAGTCCGTTTCAATTACTTAAGGTGATGTTGAGGATCTGTAAACGTCCATTTACTTAAAGGAAGCGTTTGTTCTCATGGAAAAAAATTACCATTTGTTTGTTTCTTACTTAAGGTGTGGTAAGCAATATGTTTTTACTCTTCCACTGGGATTGGACCACTTTGGTCTTGACGTCCACCGCAAACTGTCCGTTGTGGATCCATCCGGTGGAAGAGTAATAGTGAACACAGATAATTTTACCTTCTAATCAAACAGTTCATGTGAGGCTGTATCATACCATAGATTTGTGGAAAACACCTGTCCTCTGACCATTCAACAAAAATATTTATAGATAACTCCCAAAATATTTCAACCATCTTTCATGAGTGCAAAATATCCCACAAATCCGTTTTTGATATGAGCCACATGAAATTGTCTTGGGTGAATGAAGTTATTTCTGTTCAGTGTTCTTGTACACAGGAATTTTAACACTGCATTAGGACTACATCATAGGTCCAAATGCAACTGTACATGCAATCGAAATGTTTTATTTTATTTCCAGATATTTTATATAAAAATAATTGTAACAGATATAGGAAAATGTGTAGTTTTTATCCCTGTAATTGAACGTTACATGTGCTTCGTGGTGTTTTTTTGAATTTAGACCCAATATTGTTATGTGTTTCTGGTATTTTAAAAATTATATTTGTTAAACCACACCTTGGTAGAAAATTGTAAACAAATTACTCAACAGCGCTGTACTTACTGAAGATGTCCTTGAAATTTGTTACTAAAATTGATCATGTTATTCAAAATTTTCATTTTTCCAAATTTGAAAAAAAAAAGTTAGAATATCAGAAATTGATGAACAGGGAGAGAGAAGAAAAACTACACAATATGAATTAGATCATTAAATGGTCACTTCATTAGATATCAAATCTCGAGGACATTAACTATGTTTCTGGGATGTGGTGATGTTTTTTTGTGAAGAAAATGTTTGTTAGATAATTATTTTGTTTAATAGCTTGCCATGCTGGATTTTTGGTGTGGTGAAGTTAGTTCAATTTGCTCAGAAGTGGTAAGGGAACTCAGCACCAGTGACCCAGTTTAAACTTTTTTTGTTATTTAAAAAATTCAATAGAATAAATAAAGTTGATAGGGTTTTGTCTCACTTGTTGATATTTTTACCTGCATATAATGAATCATGTGTATGTCAAATTGTCCATCTCATGCATATGAGGTTATCAGTAATAATTATTTCTAAGTTCAAGAAAAATAATCCACACATACATGACAGTGTGAAAATAGACATATCATTTTCTGCCTTGATTTAATCTGTGATCAAGAGACTTTCCATTAACATTATGTTGGTATATGACTAATCCTCAGAATAGCTGGATTATTGTGAACAAACGGATCTCTTTGCCTCTTTTTGGATATCCTTTCATTAAAAGTTTACACAAAACCACTCCAAAATATCTTCTACATTCGGATACACATAGGGCTGAATTTAGGGGCACATTTTGCCGTTGGTATGTGTTCTGGAGCATAGCCGGGTTATGATTTTTCCAATCTCTGGTAATTTTCTCAAGAACATTGAACAACTCTAATTTCGATGAGTAGAGTTGTACGGTATAACTCGTGATTATCAATAAAATTGTTCTCGTATGAAAAAAAAAAAAAAATCAAAAAGTACTTTTAATGCTAGCATATTATGACAATTTTAACGAGCCATACAGTATTTTGTGGTATATGATAAAACATTATAGTGAACCTGTTGTAGAGTAGTGTTTCACATCACAGTATACATTGTATAATGAATATCTAGTCAGTGATGTCTGTCTTTAAAATACCATACTTAAACTCTCCACATAACAATTATTATAGCACATTGATACAAATTTTTTTTTTTTTAATTATTATATGTACTGCACTTCTCGAAAAAAAAGTTTGAAGTCTCTGCAGCCTTCAGAATAACACTATTTATGTGTCTTGCCAGGTAGCGAAACCTGGTTTGCGTTACTCTGAACTGGTTGCTACAGAGGGTATAAAGAAAACATTTTATAATAGCTCTGGCAAAAGCTGCTTAACATGGGCTAATATTGAGTAAAGATTCACACGTGTATATTATTATTATTAATACAAATAAAAAGCATTTATTTCATATAAACCAGACCTAGAAAAGTAAGATCATGGAAGATCATTGTACGTCTTTATTTTGGTTTTCCTTATTTGTCGACCTCAGCGAAGGGCGGCAGGAAATGACCGCATTACTTTCTGAGTAAAGAAAGCACTAAGCCACCTTTGTTAAATATTAGTTATGAATTGTGTTGTGGTTTGGCTGTGTACAGAATCGTATGCCATTAAACAGTTTCAAATAAAAACTTTGTACTTGTGTTTTTTTCTGTCCTGTTAACAAGATTGACAATTTTTTTTCGGAAAGTTGAAACTGCGATCAACTCAGTCAATGATTATTGATGTTAATTACCTACATTAGACACTCATAATGTATCAAAGACTTAAAAATTGAGGATGTATCCATGGATTAAAATGTAAAAATCATCTTATGAAATTAGCATGACAAACAGACAGACAGAAAAGCTGATTACTATAGGGCACCTACATCTGGTTGCGGGGCCCTAATAATGTCATACAATCACGATATTAAGTCAATCTAATAAGAAAGTATATTCATCAGCTGGATACAGGTCTCTATCTTGCCATGATAATATTTACAGCTAGGGTCACAAGGTGAGTGCCTGTGTTTTAGGGATGTTGGTGTTAATAAACCCTTGTCATCGTGATGAGGCAGAATTTAACAGACTTTTACAGTGGACTACTAAAGGCACCCAGTAGAACACCTCTCCAGGTCACATTATACTGGTAACGTGGCCTAAAGTAGCACAGAGTCAAGTGAGACATTGTGAAAAAATAGTGAAGACAAAAGAGAAAAAACAAATACACTGTACAACATGATGGAAAGTGTTGATAATTTGTTTTAATTACCTGCATAAACAAGTGAATACAATAATATATCACAAAACATGAATATAAATGATTAATTCTGGAAGTTTTTGTAAACAAAATTAATGCAATATCAAAGAAATACTGATCTAGAAAATTTCTTGAGAGTAAAAAAACCTTTAAGGATATCCTGCAACCGGTTATTTCACATGAACGATATTTTCCCTTTACATGAAAAGGGTCATAAAAGTTTAGTCAGTGGTATAATGAGACAAGTGTGTAAAAGATATCCTTTACATTCATAGCACAAAATTTTCATTCGATGATCCTATTGAAAGAAAATGGCAAAAATTTTGACCCACAAAAATGACCAGCTATACAGTAATTCAATGGCAAGTGTTTAACAAAGACTGGCAGATAATTGGAATCAATATTGTCCATTTAGTTCAAACAATATTGTTATTCAACATTCACCAATTTAACACATACATATGATACATATTGGATGGGAAAACAAGCTTGGAGATTATATTAATTCTTAGTAATGAACAAGATATCACAGTCAAGCATAGCAAGGGTATATATAATCACAATTTCGCTTGTGCAATATTTTATACATACTTGGTGGAATACTGGAAGACGGCAACATCCGTATGCAATACGTGATATTGTAGTGAAAACTGTGAGACTTATTTCCCTTGGTTGGAACTGACATGACATGACAACTCTACCAATTCCTGGCCCCCATTGGCTGTCAAACTAGTCACTATACCATCATATAGATAGTGTGAAACGGTCAGAAATTGTGGCAGATCACAATGAGTGTGCTCGTGACTTCTAACCACGGAACAACATAAATGTGTATCATAAATGTTAATAATTTCACCGAACCACCTATTGGTTAGAAGCTGGGAGCTACCTTATGGGGTTCAGTGTGTAACATACGACGAAAGTCGCTACAATATTACAGTATAACTACGACACATCTGATGAATGACTATCTCACTAGAAACCAACCTTATAATCAATACCATTTGAAAGCACTATTGATGATAATCCTCTGGATCAGATTTTTCTGATTCTTGCTAACATTCTCTACCCTGATGGAACACCATATGGATGTCTAATCTGGACAAGGTGTACAAGAAGATAACTTTTCCAGGCATAGAGAAGAGATAATTTGGGCACAGAGGAGACTTAACAGGGTACAGAGGAGACTAAATCTGGGCACAGAGGAGACTAAATCTTGGTACAGAGGAGACTAAATCTTGGTACAGAGGACACCTAATCTGGGCACAGAGGAGACAATCTGGGTAGAGGAGACTTGGTCTGTGTACAGAGGCTTAATCTGGGCACAGAGGAGACTTAATTTGGGTACAGAGGAGACTTAATCTGGGCACAGAGGTGACTTAATCAGGGTACAGAGGAGAGTTAAGATGGGTACAGAGGAGACTAAATCTGGGCACAGAGGAGACTAAACCTTGGCACAGAGGACACCTAATCTGGGCACAGAGGAGACTTAATCTGGGCACAGAGGAGACTTAATCATGGTACAGAGGAGAGTTAAGATGGGTACAAAGGAGACATAATATGGGCACAGAGGAGAGTTAATCTGGGTACAGAGGAGACGATCTGGGCACAGAGGAGACTTAATCTGGGTACAGAGGAGACATAATCTGGGTACAGAGGAGACTTAATCTGGATACAGAGGAGACTTAACCTGGGCACTGAGGAGACGATCTGGGTACCTAGGAGACGATCTGGGCACAGAGGAGACTTAATCATGGTACAGAGGAGACATAATATAGGCACAGAGGAGAGTTAATCTGGGTACAGAGGAGACGATCTGGGTACAGAGGAGACATAATATGGCTACAGAGGAGACTTAATCGGTACAGAGGAGACTTAACCTGGGTACAGAGGAGACATAATTTGGGTGCAGAGGAGACTTAATCGGCACAGAGGAGAGCTAAGATGGGTACAGAGGAGACTTAATCTGGGTACAGAGGAGACATAATATGGGCACAGAGGAGACATAATATGGGTACAGAGGAGACTTAATCGGTACAGAGGAGACTTAATATGGGTACAGAGGAGACTTAATCAGGGTACAGAGGAGACTTAATATGGGTACAGAGGAGACTTAATCTGGGCACAGAGGAGACTTAATATGGGTACAGAGGAGACTTAATCTGGGCACAGAGGAGACTTAATATGGGTACAGAGGAGACTTAATCGGCACAGAGGAGACTTAACCTGGGTACAGAGGAGACTTAATATGGGTACAGAGGAGACTTAATCTGGGCACAGAGGAGACTTAATATGGGTACAGAGGAGACTTAATCAGGGTACAGAGGAGACTTAATATGGGTACAGAGGAGACTTAATCTGGGCACAGAGGAGACTTAATATGGGTACAGAGGAGACTTAATCGGCACAGAGGAGAGTAATGTAAGGCATCTAACTACAAAAAATAATCCATACAATATATAATATAATAAAGGCAGCAATTTATGATGATTCACATCAGTTGTTACATGTATTGCACTTGTATCAGACATCAGATCTGGGGCATTTCACTCGATTCTTGTAGATAAATTGTGTAGTTAAATATACACGCTTCAAACTGTTTGGAATGTACAACAAAAACAGAAGTAAAATAACACTAAAAATAGTGAAACATTTACCTGTGTCAATCTTGATTAAATTCAATTTGGATTCGCATAAAAATGTAAATTCACAGTAATGCTTACAAGATATATAGCTGTTCCATAATCACAAATTTTACAAGATCATACTATGGACTAGTGTATATAAAGTTATTTAGGAAGAATATAATATTATAGGAATATGTACAGCCAATATGGAAGACTGACCAATTTAAAAACTATTTGAAACTTGAGCATCATGTTATTTCTTTGGCAAGAATAAAAGAAACCTTTAAATTTTAAAGATCAGTCAGTCTGTGGTGCAGATTCCACACACACCATCAGTCTGTGATGCTGACTCCACACACACCATCAGTCTGTGATGCTGACTCCACACACACCATCAGTCTGTGGTGCAGATTCCACATACACCATCAGTCTGTGATGCTGACTCCACACACACCATCAGTCTGTGATGCTGACTCCACACACACCATCAGTCTGTGGTGCAGATTCCACATACACCATCAGTCTGTGATGCTGACTCCACACACACCATCAGTCTGTGATGCTGACTCCACACACACCATCAGTCTGTGATGCTGACTCCACACACACCATCAGTCTGTGATGCTGACTCCACACACACCATCAGTCTGTGATGCTGACTCCACACACACCATCAGTCTGTGATGCTGACTCCACACACACCATCAGTCTGTTGTGTAGATTCCACACACACCATCAGTCTGTGATGCTGACTCCAAACACACCATCAGTCTGTGATGTCCAGTCCACACACATCATCAGTCTGTTGTGTAGATTCCACACACACCATCAGTCTGTGATGCTGACTCCAAACACACCATCAGTCTGTGATGCTGACTCCACACACATCATCAGTCTGTTGTGTAGATTCCACACACACCATCAGTCTGTGATGCTGACTCCAAACACACCATCAGTCTGTGATGTCCAGTCCACACACATCAGTCTGTGAAGTTCAGTCCACACACACTATCATTTTGTGATGTCCAGTCCACACACATCAGTCTGTGAAGTTCAGTCCACACACACTATCATTCTGTGATGTCCAGTCCACACACACTATCATTCTGTGATGTCCAGTCCACACACATCAGTCTGTGAAGTCCAGTCCACACACATCAGTCTGTGAAGTCCAGCCCACACACTATCATTCTGTGAAGTTCAGTCCACACACATCAGTCTGTGAAGTTCAGTCCACAAACACTATCATTCTGTGAAGTTCAGTCCAAACACATCAGTCTGTGAAGTTCAGTCCACACACATCAGTCTGTGAAGTCCAGCCCACACACTATCATTCTGTGAAGTTCAGTCCACACACTATCAGTCTGTGATGTCCAGTCAACACACCTCAGTCTGTGAAGTTCAGCCCACACACTATCATTCTGTGAAGTTCAGTCCACACACATCAGTATGTGACGTCCAGTCCACACACACACATCAGTCTGTGAAGTCCAGTTCACACACATCAGTCTGTGAAGTCGAGTCCACACACATCAGTCTGTGAAGTGCAATCCACACACATCAGTCTGTGAAGTTCAGCCCACACACTATCATTCTGTGAAGTTCAGTCCACACACTATCATTCTGTGAAGTTCAGTCCACACACATCAGTCTGTGAGGTCCAGTCCACACACATCAGTCTGTGAGGTTCAGTCCACACACACCAACAGTCTGTGATGCTGACTCCACACACACCATCAGTCTGTGGTGCAGATTCCACATACACCATCAGTCTGTGATGCTGACTCCACACACACCATCAGTCTGTGATGCTGACTCCACACACACCATCAGTCTGTGATGCTGACTCCACACACACCATCAGTCTGTGATGCTGACTCCACACACACCATCGGTCTGTTGTGTATATTCCACACACACCATCAGTCTGTGATGCTGACTCCAAACACACCATCAGTCTGTGATGTCCAGTCCACACACATCAGTCTGTGAAGTTCAGTCCACACACACTATCATTCTGTGATGTCCAGTCCACACACATCAGTCTGTGAAGTTCAGTCCACACACACTATCATTCTGTGATGCTGACTCCACACACACCATCAGTCTGTGATGCTGACTCCACACACACCATCAGTCTGTTATGCTGACTCCACACACACCATCAGTCTGTGATGCTGACTCCAAACACACCATCAGTCTGTGATGTCCAGTCCACACACATCAGTCTGTGAAGTTCAGTCCACACACACTATCATTTTGTGATGTCCAGTCCACACACATCAGTGTGAAGTTCAGTCCACACACACTATCATTCTGTGATGTCCAGTCCACACACACTATCATTCTGTGATGTCCAGTCCACACACATCAGTCTGTGAAGTCCAGTCCACACACATCAGTCTGTGAAGTCCAGCCCACACACTATCATTCTGTGAAGTTCAGTCCACACACATCAGTCTGTGAAGTTCAGTCCACAAACACTATCATTCTGTGAAGTTCAGTCCAAACACATCAGTCTGTGAAGTTCAGTCCACACACATCAGTCTGTGAAGTCCAGCCCACACACTATCATTCTGTGAAGTTCAGTCCACACACTATCAGTCTGTGATGTCCAGTCAACACACCTCAGTCTGTGAAGTTCAGCCCACACACTATCATTCTGTGAAGTTCAGTCCACACACATCAGTATGTGACGTCCAGTCCACACACATCAGTCTGTGAAGTCCAGTTCACACACATCAGTCTGTGAAGTCGAGTCCACACACATCAGTCTGTGAAGTGCAATCCACACACATCAGTCTGTGAAGTTCAGCCCACACACTATCATTCTGTGAAGTTCAGTCCACACACTATCATTCTGTGAAGTTCAGTCCACACACATCAGTCTGTGAGGTCCAGTCCACACACATCAGTCTGTGAGGTTCAGTCCACACACACCAACAGTCTGTGATGCTGACTCCACACACACCATCAGTCTGTGGTGCAGATTCCACATACACCATCAGTCTGTGATGCTGACTCCACACACACCATCAGTCTGTGATGCTGACTCCACACACACCATCAGTCTGTGATGCTGACTCCACACACACCATCAGTCTGTGATGCTGACTCCACACACACCATCGGTCTGTTGTGTATATTCCACACGCACCATCAGTCTGTGATGCTGACTCCAAACACACCATCAGTCTGTGATGTCCAGTCCACACACATCAGTCTGTGAAGTTCAGTCCACACACACTATCATTCTGTGATGTCCAGTCCACACACATCAGTCTGTGAAGTTCAGTCCACACACACTATCATTCTGTGATGTCCAGTCCACACACATCAGTCTGTGAAGTTCAGTCCACACACATCAGTCTGTGAAGTTCAGTCCACACACACTATCATTCTGTGATGTCCAGTCCACACACATCAGTCTGTGAAGTTCAGTCCACACACATCAGTCTGTGAAGTCCAGCCCACACACTATCATTCTGTGAAGTTCAGTCCACACACATCAGTCTGTGAAGTCCAGCCCACACACTATCATTCTGTGAAGTTCAGTCCACACACTATCAGTCTGTGATGTCCAGTCAACACACCTCAGTCTGTGAAGTTCAGCCCACACACTATCATTCTGTGAAGTTCAGTCCACACACATCAGTATGTGACGTCCAGTCCACACACATCAGTCTGTGAAGTCCAGTTCACACACATCAGTCTGTGAAGTCGAGTCCACACACATCAGTCTGTGAAGTGCAATCCACACACATCAGTCTGTGAAGTTCAGCCCACACACTATCATTCTGTGAAGTTCAGTCCACACACTATCATTCTGTGAAGTTCAGTCCACACACATCAGTCTGTGAGGTCCAGTCCACACACATCAGTCTGTGAGGTTCAGTCCACACACATCAGTCTTTTGTGTTTAGTTTGTGACTAGTGTTAAGTTTAAACAAGACAGTCTACGGTATCAGATAAACACACATAATCAGTCGGTGGTTTTAAAGGTCACACACATTATGAATTTGTTGTGTAGAATTCACAATCACAAGTCTGTGGTGTTGAGATGACCGGCTCTAAATGTCTGTGATTTTAGTTATCACACACTACGAGGTTGTGGTGTCAAGATAACACACCATGGGTCTGTAACACACACTATGGACCTGTGATGTTGAAGTTCACACAAGCCACCATTCTGTTGTGTAGAGTTCAATAACACCATGATCGAGTGTATGGTGTTGAGTTTATACAGATTATCAGTCAGTGATGTTGAATTTCCAAACATCATTAATCCTTAGTGTTAAGTAGTAGCTTGATGATATCTTTGTACAACACCTTGTATGCATTAACAGCCCAGATAAAATCAAGATGATTCCAGTCTTTGATTTCATAAATTCCACGAACATTGGGTAACTTGGATTGAAGTATCTTCACATCCTGTAGGACAGACAGAAAAATATATACAATGATCCTTTGATATATGTTTCATGTTTGCTTTTCCTCTCGGAGAACCAGGGTAAGGTAGGTCTCATAAAAATAAAGGTTTGAATTTTTACAGTTTTGACGAGTTGGTAGGTGCACACTACTTGTAAAAACCCCTTGACCCTAACTTTAAACCTAACCCTAACCCTAACCCTAACCCAAAAGCCCATGTCACTGAGTAGCAAAAGGACCTTTATGAGTAGCAAAATACTAATAACCATTACCCTAACCCTAATTGTAGTGTTTTTCTACCCATAAATGGAGAAATAAAGTCCTGCCCATATATTCTATAGTTAGATCTATCTGCAGATATTAAAATCATTTTAATTGCCACTGGATTTAGACAAGGTTCTCCATTATTGGTCTACCTGTTTATGTAAAAATCTTAATAAAAATTCTCAAAGTTAAATAGCCATGACTGATGAAAAAAATTAAATGTTCATCACCAAATCAGAACTTGACCTGCGTGTTATTACGATATGAACACCTGAAGTATCTGCATCCGTTTAAAAGAGTATATGAGATATACAAATTATGGTCGAATGATAAACAAGATTACCACTATATGCTCCTGACCATAACATGACCAAGGAGCCCAATATTATACATCATGACTTAATCAGAACTTAAAGCTGATAAGAAGGCGGTCCATGATGGCATTTCCTGTTCCACAAGTGGTACAAGTAATTATGTCACCACTTATATTAACACTTTCCAAATTTTAGGTCGCCACAGTGAAGTGCCTTTGCTTTCTACATATTTTGTATATACTATATTCCTTAAAATTCTGACATAGACATAAGTGAAAATCTCACATTCAGTATCTGTTTCATAACTTGTATATCTTTCGGTATCCATACTACATACCTAGTAACTTATGACATCCCAATATGGCTGTATATAAGATTGCATTAAAATACAGTACATTGTACCAGGAGAGAAAATGTACAAAATTCATCTTCACACTGAAAAAATTTAATAAATTGTTGTTTTATAAAGTATGTAATTTAGTGAGGAAGATCCCATACCACATACCTGAGGTACAGCTAACCAGTCCTTCTCTGCCCAGTACAGCACTACTGGGGTAGTCACTTTGGTAACATTGTAAGCAGGGGGTGTGTCCTGTCAATGAAACATGAAACAGTATAGGTCATGAACTGCAAAAAAAGATTTGTGGCCTGTCATTTAACCAGCTAGGATAGTTACCAGGAAAAAGTAAACATGTCATACACACTCTCTCCCCTGCTGATAGGGTTTAGAACATATCCGCTGTGTCCTACTGCAGGTGGTAAAAGTTCACTAAAAGGGGCAACCTGTCTACTGTGGGTTGTATCCTGTGAGTACTAGGAGAAAGGATCCTGGTGGCTGAGGGGCAGTTATGTGGTTTGCATTTTATTCTCAAGCAATCTCGCATGACCTTCCCCCAATTCATCACTTTGGCCTCTATCTCAGTAAGACGGGTGGTCATTGTGGTCCTCAATGATCAACAAGATGGTCATGCCAAGCCCTTGGTCAACTTTATGTCCTAAGTGTTAAGTTTTTCTTCTTTATTTCACTCAACCGTATACACATCTATTTTTGTAGCTTTTATTTTACAGTTGGTTTAAGGGCCAATCGAGAGAGTTCTATTCCTTTGAGTATACTACCTGTGTATCCTTGGCATGCGTGTACCAGAGATCCGTACCGGTATTAGTGTCCCCTTGTTGGGCTCTGAGGTGGGTGAGGAGCACAGGTAATGAAAATCTATACACCTAACTATGGGCACAAAAAATCAAAATAAACGAATATATCCTTCATCATCAGACTCAGAAGATGACCATGATTTCAACCAGTTCATTGTGGTAAGATGGAAAAGGATGAACCAATGTCATCTGTTTCACCATTTGTAATTGAAAAACTATCCTGTCCCTCATTCTTCCCTGAACACATCAAATTTCAAATTTTTTATCAGATAAGAGTATTTAAAGTCTGGATTGGAAAGACCCTTTCCAATGTTCATCAGAAGGAAACTAGTGTACCACAAGGCAGCATTCTTTGGACTTAAAAATCAACAGTATTTTCAAAACATTATCCCGTTCAATGGAGTGGGCTCTTAATGCGGATGACTTCATTATATATTATCAATCTAAGCATATGAATACCATCGGAAGACAACTACAACAATATCTGAATTGACTACAAATTTGGGCAGATGAAAATGGATTTAAATTTTCACAATCTTTTACAAATCACAAATATTGATATTGACCAAATTCAGTCATTTGGAACGATAGAAATTCCACCCTGGCTCTTGAATCCACCTGAAGTTAACTTTTCACTTCATGAAATGGTTAAATCAGACACAGACAGTTACACCTTTCGTTCATCCTTCTCAAAATTGCAGTTAAAATATAAAACATTTCTACATTTATATACTGATGGTTCAAAAGATAATGATAAGATTGCTGCGGCCATGGTCACACAAGATGAAACCTATGGATGCCGGCTACCGAACAACGCCTCAATATTCTCAGCAGATGCTCAAGCTATCTATCTCGCCCTTGAATATATTCAAAGAAACAAAGTAACGAGAGCTGTCATCCATTCAGACTCTCTTTCTGTTCTACAAAGTCTAAGCAAAAGAAATATTAAACCATTCATTAAACAAATTTTAAAAGCTCAGTGGCAGGATGTGGTCGGTCAAGTAATTAGGATACAGTAAAATTTGTTTATAACAACAGACCTAAGATGTTATCTATGTAATGTATTGGAGATGGCATCACTGTCTAAATAATTTAAGTTTAATCAGAGTGTGAAGATTTTGTAATAAACATTTCTGTTGAGCCATTACCTGTTTATTTGTGAACTGAGTAAGAGTAACAATGTGTCATATATTCTGATATTAACAATCCTTGACGAAATATCCACTGACATGTGACAGTTTTATGATAGTTGATACAGTGACTAAACACCTGTAAATTTACCTGTCCATAGTGCTTTTTATTGGCTGACACAGATCCATAGTCATACTTCTTAAACTCTTTACTACGGATCATCTGTTCAAAGAAAAAAACATCATCTTCAACTAAACCCAGATGATTTATGCATGTGTTAGGCAATATTTACACACAGTAAAGATTACAACACCAAGGTATTGAGAGACGGAGAGTCATGGAAATTAGTGTATGAATGTGGAGGTTAATAATTGGTTACAACAGTTATTTTCAGGTAATTTTTTTCAGATAAAGTATTTACAAAGTAATCAGAATCAATTTTTGTCAGTAGATACAAAATGTGAAAGTGACTTGTTAAAATACAACTGCATCTTTCCATAAAGATATGTGCCAGCGTGCACAACATGAAGACCAAAGCGAGTCTATTTGTCCAGTAATAATATATCCCCCTCTCCCTGTCTGTGAGTTACAGCTATTTGATTTGGAATTACCTGTGAGAAATGGATCATATCCTGCATGGAAGTGCCAGCAGGCGAGTGGTTGATATACACTGGTAGCCTTGTCTGAAGTAGGAACGGAACTCTAAATCAGACATCAAAAATCCAACAACACATCGTACATATTTTAAATCTTCTAAGGATAAATGACGCATCAGTTTCACTTACAGGATGTCTTAACTCAATATAAAATGATCTTTACATGTGAAAAAATACGTTGTATTTCCTGGGCATCATTTTAATTGTACAATTCAAAGAAAATGTGTAAAGTAAATATACTATCCCACAATTTGTGAGGAAATTTAATACATGTTTAAATCAAAAACCAATTTTAATTGTCAATACCAAATTGTCAAGATATTTTTGAGGCTCGGAAGCCACCATATGCAGACCAAGGATAAATGTCACGACCTCAGAATTGTCTGTTTCATTGTAATAAATATAGGACACAATTTATTCAAAATGAAGTTGAAATCTCTACTCGAGTCATTCTATTTTCAGAAATGCTATTTTCAGGAAATTAATGCTAACCATCCGTAGAACATTGTGTCAGGTAAAATATACTCACCTTGTTTAAGTTGTGTATATCATAACCAGCACACAAAAACAAGATATCTGAACACACGGCCCTTGTCACAGTTTCCTTGCACAACGTGTCACCCAAAATCTTTATGATCAAGTAATTTGGCAGAAAATCTTTCCGACCTAACAACGAATAGGCTATCTGAAATACAATTGATTATAAATATAAAATCTACAAGTTATCACAGAGAATATGTCCCCTTGTATCACAGTAAAACATCAAACCTGACAAGACAGATGTACACAGTATCAAATGTACATATTCAATTAATGTCATATTAAATTTCTCCATTACATCAAATAAAAAATTAGAATCCAAATGTTTGACGATTATAAAAGGAATGATATGCCGAATTGACCACAAGCTCCTCTTAAGGTTGAAATTTTATAAATGTAGGAAAAGTTGTGTTGCTCACTATTCAAAGTATTCTTGCTATGAGTATGAGTATAGAAAAGATGTGAATATCTTCTCAACTATGAAGAGAAACTTCTAATCTACATAATCTTTTTTAATGTTGAACCTGAGACAATTTAACCCGAGCTGCTCCAGGAATAAATCTGTATTCACAACAGGGGAGACAATCATCATTTAGATTTTTCTTTAGTATTCTTATCTTAAATCTTTTTTTTTTGATTAGCATTTCAATTTATTTAGTTCTGTGAACAATGTTTTACACTTGTTAGTCATATAGATATAGGTTCATTAAACATAAGAAGGGTGACTAACCTCATCAGGTACAGCTGCCAGGTACTTGAGCGGACTGATGATATGGGCAGGCACAGTCACAGGTCCTAGTGCCACAAATAGTTTTATCTGTTCCAAAAGTTAAAAAAAAACTTCCAAATAACTTATCTATGACATATTAATAGTAAACTTTATATATAATACAGGTTTTCTGTTCCCTATTCTATTGATAAATAAACCTAGACTCAATATATTTTGACAATTAAACAATGACTCAATCTTTTCACAAAACCTTGACTCAACCTTTTGACAAATAAACCTAGACTGTCTTTTGACAAATAAACCTAGACTCAATCTTTTGACAATTAAACAATGACTCAATCTTTTCACAAAACCTTGACTCAATCTCTTGACAGATAAACCTAGACTCAGTCTTTTGACAAATAAGCCCAGACTCAATCTATTGATAAATGAACAAAGAAAACAGCAACAAATGTATAAATGTAATTACTGACATGGAAAGGAATTCCTGTCAAAATCAAATCTAATTAAATTACAGTTCAGAATATGTCTTACCTTTCTTGATAGCTCTGGATTATCTGACAACATGGCAAAGTTAATAAGTGTCCCCTGGGAGTGACCAATGTAGAACAAGTCATCATGTCCAGTAACAGTCAGTATATGGTTTAGAACGGCTGGGATGTCATACTTGGCCATTTCATCAAAGCTATAATACAAAACTAAACACATTTGAGAATAAAGACTTCACACAGAATGTCTGAAATAAGTCCTGCATTTTTCATTGTTAAATAAGAAGTGTGATTTTTTTTTTTTCGAAATTGATGACTTTTGAAGTATTGGTAATATCTTTAAATTCAAATTTTCATTCTACAAGAACAGGGTTTGTATATGTACATGGATGGTGATTTTGTTACCTCCCCTTAGACAGTAATCACTGGTGATAGGCAAGAAGACACATGCATTACATTCCTGATAATATGTAGGTCTTAATTTGATGCATTGTGAAAAATTAGATATTGTGAATTTCAGATACATTTTTCTAACATTCAAAATGAAAAGTATGTTACAATTGTATGAAATTATCAAGATAAACCTCCATTGATCACCATTAACATTTTCGGCGCCAAATATCTCAAAATGTACAGCTCAGCGCCAAATATCTCTCACAATGTACAGCTCAGCACCAAATATTTTCCGGAAAATATCCGAAAACAATGGCAGCATTACTGAAACAAGCATATCTTGGCTGATAATAAAGATATAAAAATTGTCGACTTTAGTCGCCTACGGCGGCCTGTCTGCATGTCGACTTCAGTCGCCTACGGCGGCCTGTCTGCATGTCGACTTCAGTCGCCTACGGCGGCCTGTCTGCATGTCGACTTTAGTCGCCTACAGCGGCCTGTCTACACGTCGACTTTAGTCACCTACGGCGGCCTGTCTGCATGTCGACTTTAGTCGCTTAGGGCGGCCTGTCTACATGTCGACTTTAGTCGCCTACGGCGGCCTGTCTACACGTCGACTTTAGTCACCTATGGCGGCCTGTCTACATGTCGACTTTAGTCGCCTATGGTGCCGACAGGGTTAAATCAAAAGGTAAGAAAACTTTTTCCAAGTTTTCTAAGTTCACTTTCAAGAGAAAACAAAATTGAATAACCATCAAACTATACGTCTCAGATTGTGGCTAGGTTCCTGAATGGATACCAGAGGTATTTTGTAGAGCTCCAGACAATGTGGTCAACATAATGAGAAAATAAAGGATTCTTTACATCTAGGAACACTTGTTGTAGTTTTATTCATGGACTAATCGTCGACATGTTTCGACTGTTATACGGCTATCATCATCGTTCTAAGTTCATTTTTAATAAAGTATAGAAAATGTTCTGTTTGTGAGTTGAAGGTGTGATATATCATTCCATATCCTTGTAAAAGGAGCTAGTTGATTGGGCTTGTACATAGTGTTAAATACGGTCTCTAACGCTCTAATAATGAAGCACACGTCTTTGTCTCAGTTGGTAGAGTTAATCAATTATCATGCCGGAGACCTGAGTTTGATGCCTGGTCAGGACACTCAACAGGAATGTGTATTTTCCCTGTTCTTTCACATCCTTATTGATGAATTGTCTTTCTGCTATATGAAGAAGCCAAATACATTTAGAAGCCAAAGGCTTTGTTTCTTAAAACACAGCATATATAACAATATGTCAAATACATTAATACAAATATTAGAATTTCACTTGATGTTCACCAACCTAAATTTCCAGAATTCGTCACAATCAGGAGACAACTTGACATGTTTGGTAGAATATGTGTTCCCTCGGGAATTCCCTAACCATACATCAAAGCCTGCATCAGCCAGCTGGAATCCTGCATATCATAAATAAGGTTTAATATATATATATATTTCTAAATAATTGTCAAAACAAAATTATTGTTCTGCAGCTATACAGAGAATCTAAACGTCCATCAAACTTCATATCATAGACAATGCTCGATAATTTTAAAAGACTACCCACACTCTCAGAAGCTTTTTTGTTGGACGTTGGATCTCATTTTCTTTGCATCTTTAAAATAGTTAAGGTGATCAAATTCATTGTTTTGAAGCTGAACACAGAAAATCTACCTAGTCTAGCAATCATATTGAAGCTTTATGGCTGTTGTCAAAAAATAGTAAAAAAGAACGAAAAAATCCAGTTTTTATCTATTGCCGGTATCCAAAAACAATTGTTCTACTGTAAAGCCCATTTATCACATATCAAACAGTTCTTCCTTCTACATATATCTCATCATGAATTCATTCAGTTTCAATGTTTGTTGGCTGGTTTAATTGCATTGAAAACAGCCAGAGTCATTTTAGGCAGGATCTCCATCCTAGTATAGCTACCTAGTGGCTACCTTAATGAAAACATTCCAGGGCTCTCACACCCCATTTAGGGACTGGAGCCCGGGGCCCTTAGAATTGGGAAAAATAATGGTGTTTTCCTTAGAATTGGGAAAACTTGGGGTCTAAATTGGGAAAAAAGATACTATATTGCATTGAGAACGGGGCCGAATATCTGCCCCAAATCTGGCAGATCGAGAGCCCTGCATTCAGACGAGTCCCATCACAATACGACTCCCATTTTTCGACAGAAAAGCATAATTACCCAGACTTTCATTTGCTAGATTGGCGACCCAGTTTGTACTGGCTCCCAGAAGACCATGCTGCAGGAATACAACCGGACGTGGGAGTTTGTTGGGGGTGTGGTGCTTGTTGTGACGTCCATGAGGGATTCTCTGTATACCGAGGAGGTAGCCATCCTTTGTTTCTACAGTATATTCCTCACACGGGTACCCTTTACTTGTTATTAGCTGTGACTGAAAAATAGGTAACAAGGCAGATTGATAAACAAAATTAAGTACAATCATTTCTACTAGATTACATCATCATCACCAACATCGTAAAACAAACATGTGGAAATTCATTTTGTTGATCAGTTAATTGTCAAAAATAGAAATATTGAGTCTTGTGAGTGGAAACTGGAGTAATCAGAGCCCCCTACCTCTGATAGGAGAATAAAACTTGAAGATGAAACGCGTTGAATTAGATAACATTGGAAAGTACTGCTGTCATTAACCATAGAGTTCATAACAAAAAACTGATGTCTACTCTATATGTGTAGTTTATCACCAACTCACCACATTCATGAAAACTTCCGGGTCCGTATGCATAAAGTTTCTGTAAACGTTCTCCAGCAATTCTGTGTGGAAACTTGCACATTTTCCAATTAGTAAACTGATGACCAACCCCAAGACATGCATATCGAGTTGTTACTGTTGTTGTTTGTCAGACCTTGTTGTAAACCTTGAAGTTTTAAAGTTGAATTTCAAACTTAGGTATATTTATAACGACCACGACAAGTGGATACGTCCGTTCTGTCATCGGAACCGGCCATAAATTATACAAGTCACGCCAGCATGCTCATTTTGTTCTTAGATACCGGAAATGTAAACATCGCACGATAAAATTTGAAACGACCATAACACGTAGGGACCAGACTTAAAAAAAGCAACGAAAAAACAGAAAGAAAAACAAAAAACAAGAAAGAAAGAAAGGGGAAAAAAAACACACACACTATGTATATTTTATCTTATCATTCCCACTCTCTTTCATGATATATCGTTGTGTTGACAGCTACGTTTTAAAATGATATACATTCTCACACAAAATAACACCTCATTATCAAACAAAGGGACCGATGTAAAGTTTACAACAAAAATGTTTTCAAGATGATGTCAGATCTCCGGTGTTTCTATCCATACTGATGATTTTTTTTAAATGATCAATTTCAGATTGGTTATACCTAGCTCACGTCCAGACATTTTTGATACTCTGTGAGAGGCCCGGAAAGATTTGCTTGACTGAAGTTTTCGTCTCGTGGATCTGATACTAGTTCACGTTCACACGCTTTTGATACTCTGTGAGAGGCCCCGGAAAGATTTGCCTGGCTGATTGTTTCGTCTCGTGGATCTTATACCTAGCTCACGTTCACATGGTTTTGATATTCTGTGAGGTTGAAAATAAACATCAGGGGTTGAAGTTTGTTGTTAAATAAATTAAAAAAAAACTGTCTCATATATCTTTGAAATTATGGAATTCAGACCTCTCGCCTGGGCTTACACATTTCTGCTACGCTTACTAAGCCCCTGCATTTTCACGTGAAATTCAAGAAAAAAGAGAATACTCTACTTAAAAAGTTGAGTATCCATGATTTTTAGCTGTTGTCTGTGACAAAGTACCACAACTGCAGGTAACATCGAACATCTGAAATTTTGCACCTGAAATAATGTACATTTTAATTTGAAATGTATCCGATATGGACATTGAGACTGTAAGCCTGCGTCCTAACAATCGTAATACACCGTACTAAAATTCAGTCAGACACTTCCTACTCTGTATAAGTTTCCAGCTTAAAAAACACGCTTGCCCCAATTTTCAATTGATATAACCGAAGACGAAATCAAAGTTCGGCACGTTATTCGGAAAGAGAACCGGACCCAAGACAAATTTTCGGGTTGGTTAATCCTTGGAAATACGATATATGATGCGTCGCAGTTCTTGCATCCGATTTTGTATACGCATTCTACGACGTTTTCTTTGCGTGTTTTATCCTTAGGACGGACTATGCTATTTCGGAGTGTCTTGTGAGGTTTCATAGTTGTTGCAATGCTATGGCCACGGTAAGTCCTGTGGATGGTTTCTGACAGGCATTTGATGAAAAGGAAAACTACTTATCATTTCGTTTTGTTCTTTTACCTGACGTATCATCTTTTGGTCTTTTTGCTTTTATCAAATTCATTGTTAACTTTCTGGATTGCCCAGTCAGGGAATCCTCATATTTTCACGGCGCTATGGATGTAATTTCGCTCTCGCTTCTTGTCTTGTTCTTCTGTGACAACCGTTTCACATCTGTTGAGAAAGGTTCGTACAGCGACCAACTTCTGGTGTAAGAGGTGGTGCGATTGAAATTTGAGGTATTGGTCGGTGTGCTTCTTTTTCGTATAGACCAATACTATGATAGTACCGTCATCTTTCTTTATTAGGAAGGTGCCAAGGAATGGCATAGTGCCATTGATTTCATCCTCACAGGTGAATTTGAAGCTGTATGTGGTATTTGCGGTATTGATATGCTTAGTCAAATCTTTCTGTGACCCATTTTTTAAAACTATTTCCAATATTTCATCAACATACCGCTTTCACAGACCCGCCTTTCATTCTGCGGGGGCCTTGGATATAGCCTCTTTCTCCAAGTGCTCCAGGGATACGTCGGTCACAACCGGACACATGTGGCTGCCCATATACAGCCGAAGATATTGTTCGATTCCTTACCATTTCGGACGCTACGTACGTCAGTGCTAGTACGCTCCACACTAGTCATTAATCTGATGAAGGTGACTGTGTAGTCATCGAAACGTCACACTCTAATCTTCTACTGGTTGTGTTATAAGATCCACTATTCAATTTATTAGTGTTTCACATACAAAAGTAAGCCATTGATATAAATAAGAAGCATAAAAGACCCAGAATAGATCCTTGAGACACCCCAGATTTTATGTATTCTTCAGGGGAAGTAATATTTTCTGTTCCCGGATCGAAAGTTTCTGTTGTCAGTTTTAACATTGGTCATAGCTATTGCACAGTAAGAGGTAGGACTTTCATATTAGACATGTGTTGTCCTTGTGACAAGACGTTTCCTACGGTACTTTGGCATCAAAATGTTTCACCATATGACCTTGACTGTGACCTATGGTCTACATTTGAAAAAAATAACATTGGCCATAACTATTGTATCATAAAAGGTATGACTTTAATATATTTGGCATGTGTTCCTTGTAACAAGACCTTTTTGACCATGTTACTTTGACCGTGACCTACAGCTGGAAAAAATATTATTGGCCTTCCCTTATGCGCATTGAAGCAAATGGTTCACAAAGTGTGCATGCAATTATCACATGTCTTACAAAGTAGTTTTAATGTCCCTCTTCATTTCATGTATAAATGTAATGACTGAGTCCTTTCAGAAAAGTATGATGTAAACTACTGCAATCTAGGCGTAGATTGATTCAGGAGTCTTTACTTACGAGGTTGTATCTTTCGGTCTACTAGGTTAAATACTTTTTGAAAAATGATTCTATCATTTCATCGTTAGTAACTCCTTTAATAACATTTCATTTATTTTGCAGCATTTGCGAAGCAAGGTACCCCCAACTTAAATTGATCACTATTGTTGGCCCGGATGGAGGAGCGCGAGGGATCTTACTGTGGAAACCAGAATACCCGGGGTAAACCCACGTGGTCGGGCAGGTAACTCCATACCTTTCCACATCCCTTCCGGGAATCGAACCCCGGACGGCTAAGTGAAAGGCGTGTGCATTACCATTGCACCACCCTTAGAGTTAGCTACTTCTGTAATCCAAGTATCTGTCATATTTATACGGGTGTTCTGTGTCATTATAAGCTCATTTAGCTCCAAGTGATATTATGTCACGGTGTTGCGTCTTTGAAGGTTCCTTGAATAAAGTTTGTGAAGAAAATTTACAAAACGAAATGACAACCTATATTCAAGATCCCGGGTTAAATCTGATTTAACCTTTAAATACATCCTGAATAGACAAAAGCTCTAGAATCTTGATATTTGGCTGGTAAGTTCTAGAGATTAAGCCCAACAAAGTTTACAAAGAGTAATTATCTTGATCCATACTCAAGGTGACAGGGGTCAAATCTGATTAATCATTTAAATGACTGCTGAGTAGCCAAAATGCCTAGAATCTTGATATTTGGCTGATAGGTGCCAGTGATGAAGTCAAACAAAGTTTTCAGGAAGAGATAATATTGACCCTATTGAAGGTCACAGGTATCAAATTTGTTAAAATATTCAAACAAGTTTCTCTTATTAACCAAAGGGTATAGAATCATGATATTAGGCAGGTATGTTCTATGTCTGAATGTCGATGATGTGAAATGATAATATATTTGTGAAAAGCATTGAACACCAGATGAGGATGCAGGCCCACTTGGCCTGTTGTTGAAGAAGAATTTGCAATCCGACTTTGGGGAGAGTGAAAGAAGACTATTCATCTGTAGTAGAAAGAAAAAAACCAACAAATGGATGGTGATAAGCAAAACAAAACAAAATCTATATCTTAAAGAAATATGTAAATTGCAACCGAGTATATTTCATTCTGGTTTAATATTGCTAAAAACATGTATATATTATGAATAAAAACAAAGATCAACAACTCTTTTCCACTAGCACTTTTACCTCTTGAGAAACTCTTCTGTGTCTCTTTAAAAGGAAATCGTAATTATGATGTCATAATTGACATGATATCATCTTGTACATAATACACAATATTAATGTAGTTATTTTTTAGATGATATGTGTATATATAACAGTACAATATAACATTTAGATTCCTAGGCCAGTAAATCATTCATAGGCACCATACAAGACTTAATAATTCAGCCTTGCAGACCCTAGTAAAACACACCCTGCTTAGAGGCATAGTGTACCTGTTGTGCACAATTTAACATACAATGAATTATTGCAATATTGATAAATGCCTTTTATAAAAGATTGGAATCTGAAACTGCCAATGTAACTCATAAAAATAAACAACATTAGATCATCAAATAAAAACACCAAATAGGATGGGATGTCCTTGGGATGGGACATTAAACGGGGGTCCGGTGTGTCACGTCATGCACGTTAAAGATCCTCTGCTGGTTTTCGAAAAAGAGAAGGCTAACTGCTAGCCGCCACAGAGTATAGGTTTTTAGTAGGTTAATATAAAGTTAGACTAGAGTAGGAATGGGTGTTTCAGTGACAGTCCAAAACCCCCCCCCCCCCCCCCCCCCCACTTTTTTTTTTTTTAAGATGTTAGGGTATGGAAATAGCTGGATCTGTCCTCCCCATATTAGACCTGATTGGCGATTAATAAAAAGCGGAATGGCACACCTTTATGCCTTGGCCCGCATTCCCCCCTCCCCCCTTAATGTCCTAGGCTCGGTTATAACCGGAACAAGGATGTTAAGCTCCAAAAAAAGAAAAAAAAAAACGGGGTGTCAAAAATCCATAGAAAGGGTATATATTGCATCAGCAAATCAAGAATTATAAGCTGATTTCTCAGTAGAGTTCTTGTGTACCTTACTCATCCATTCCACCTCTTCCTCCGTATACATATAGAGCTTAATGTCGTTAAACAAAGCATACATTGTACCTCTGTGGCAGTCTAGAGTTTATCATCAACTGATAATCTAGTTCCATTGAAATGGAATTTCACATATCTAGAAAAACAGTAATTATTTGGGGAGGTGGAGCTTTGGACTGAAGAGAGGGTGATATCGTTTGAACATAAACAGGTCAATTTACTGGTGATTTCTTTGGTAACTGATTCTTCTCCACTGCACTAAAATCTATATGCAAAAGCTTTGGTTATCAATCATTGTTTGATGTTCTTACATCATCTTTGACTCACTCTTGTATGAACACAATATTTCTAAACATGAAACTACCATTGAACAAGGAGCATTGGCATTAAATTTTCTACACGTTATCATGAATTAAACATGTTTTGATAAATTTCAATAATAAAAGAGGTACTTGTAATTGTCTTCGTATAAAATATATGGAGAAATACAATGCAGAATATTTTTTTTCCGAAGAAGACAGTGTTAAAAGTATATTTCTGTACTACTAGATATTAATTGATGACAAATATGAGTCGTGTTTGAACAAAAGTTATTTGATACATATACTTCCTCGACATGAACATTCTATGTAATATACAAAGGGACCTAACTCCACACAAATTTTAGTGTGAGTTCAATTTAGCACATGAAATTCTGTCATTCTAAAAAATTACTTATAGACATTAAACATGAAGTAGTATGCTGTGGTAAATATATTTAACATTGCTGCATTTTCTCTCCTGAAGCGATATACCCCATTGCAAATATTGAAAGGTACACTTGTAATAACACTAATTTGACATCAAATCCAATGATGTAACAGTAAACATGGTTGTCGGAGAGGGAACGGAAGTATGTAAGAAAACCCCAAGTGGTAGAGCAGGTGAACCCAACATACCTTTGTATAACCAATTTAGGAATCAAACTCAGGTTGCCTAGGTAGAAGGCAATTGGGTTATCACTGCGACAAACGATTGCCTTGTCTTTGTGTCACAAATGATCCCGAAGGCAAAAAGGCAACCATGAGAAGTATAGATCTGTTTAAAGTTACCCCTCAGGTATCGATTTTTGAACAGGTGTTCTCGTGAATTTTGAGACTGTTCCGAGACACCGATTCACAGAATTTAACAACAACAAAATAAATGGTTGATTTAATACAATCATTACAACAACATATAAATGTTAGTTCAATATCTCCATCAAGTGTAAAGAAAATGAGTGTAAATTACAGAGTGATGCCTAGCAGCCATTGTACGAAACAAATGAAGATGTTGAACTAAGGAATATAACTAAGTTTCAAATATACATATTTATCTCAGTTCTATGGCAGCAGCAGTTCTTCTTACATGTCAAAACCTGAGTAAACGTATTCAAATTATCCAAGCAGGGTATATTTTTCATTAGTAAATAAATCTAAGGTCCGACAATTAAATTGATAAATAGACAAAAATAAAACAAGATTAGATGAATCTTGATTATTATCAACAGCATCTATAGCTTGTGGTGCTCTGATTATAAACAATTCATTGATTTACAAACTCTCCAAAACCCTTCACATAATCTTAAAAGAATTATACAGTGCAATCTTCAAATTGTCATTGCTAAATTCTTGACAGAATATGCTTGTTTGCTCCGAGTATTTTTTTCCATAATTACTTCACTGTACTATACACTTGAAAATGCAGTACCTGGAAACATGTGAACACTTTCGTGAGTAGAGATTTTTTAATCAGTAATGCTTTTCAAAGACTTCCTAGAATCAGAGTGTGTATATCCTCTGCTATTTCCATACTACGTAGTGTTCGGTTAATATCAACTTCATTGTTCATGCCAGTTTTTACTTCATTGATAAACAGCAGGAAATCCCTCATGAAGAGACCAACTGGAAAGACAAACACGACATGTTACTGAGGTACCAACTTAGAATTTCAGGTACTATCATGATATTTTGATATAAATGTTTACATAATGATATATGAGTCACTGTGAGATTATTCCAATCTCTCTGATCTTATATTACACTTGTATGTTCTATAACTTTCAAAATAAAAACATTCTTTTTGGCAATATCTTCTTGTTAATGAAAAGATCTTTTGAAATTCAAACATTTAAGTTTTAAATTGTTATTTCAACAGAACATTGATGGAAAAATAAAAAGAAATACACATCAACAAAGTAAAATGTTTCCTTGATAAAGTTTTAAAAAAAAAAACACCATCATCCCCATACTAGAATGCAGAATTCCTCTACTTTTAAATGCAGTATATCAGGTTTTCAAATATATTAAAGGCTTTTGGTCATTGCTGCTAGGACCAACAAAAAAAACCCGAAAAAGTTTAAAAAAAAAATAAAAACCAAAATAAAGCCCCAATTTTATCACCATAGGCAATTTCCATTTTACAAATTTTATCATTTGGAATTGGATCAATGATCATCAATAAAATCGTTTTTCTGAAATAACAAATTTCTCATTTATCCATTTTCATGTTACATGTTCTTCAAAACGAAGATTTTCAAGAACTCCTAGAAACTCCTTGCAAACTTGATAGTGACACAGTAAGGTTATCTCCCTTGTATTACTTTCCAAGTTTTAAAATCTGCTAATGGCACAGCTGTACTACAGCTAAATCTTGGAGCCTAGAGGTTGCTAAGAAACAGATGAACTAAAACATTAGTCAATATAATGTTATATATTTCAGGGTTGTACCTGGTTTTGGTCCTTCCCCCTGTGTAGATTGTGCCTTTGGTGCCTCAGGAACATATTCTATCTTATTTCCATCTTCCATTTCAAAGTATACTTGCTTCTGTCTCTTGGCTTCTGCTAACCTTGTCAGAGATACAGTGACTTCTCTGAAACAAAAAGAAAACAAATACATTTATACTACTGATTCAGTACAGCAGTAAAATTTGTTAAATTTGGAGTTTTATTGATACTGAGCTTACTACTGATCTATACTAGAGGTATCTTCACACTAATCAACAAAATTTGTCTGCACTTTGCTCAGTTCTAACACACTGGCCAAAAATCTGTGCCAGTTTACGGATGGTATTGCACCAATTTACAAAAAAAATCAACATTTACATTGAATGATTTCCTCTGAACGTAGAAACTTGATGCCTTATGATAATTCGTATGTGGTTTGAGATGCTGCTCAGCTCTAAAGTATATGTTCAGATTAATTTCCTCCCACAGCGAGACCTCTCGCATGCTTCCATCCAGGCCAACAAAAGTGATTGATATAAGTTGGAAAAACTTATTTCACAAATGTTGTAAAATAAGTATGTTTATTAAAATTATTATAGAATTTATGATGCAGCACAAATGATCTACCACATCAAAACTGAATTTTCAGCAGATAATACCTTCCATCTTGAGTTTCCAGTTCTGCTACAGCCTTATAGCCCTTTTCCAGTGTTGTAAACTGTCCACCTATGACCTTGACCTCTCCAACCAAATGATATACTGTTTCAATCAAGGAAATATTGGCTATAAATGGTCGACCAGATTTTTCCATGTTCCCAATCCAACCTCCAAGTTTCCCTGAAGAGAAAAACATCAATGTCATTGTCGTTGTTTGTTATTAAGTTTTTACAATTGTTTGTTCTTGCGTTGTTATTGTTACAGCACATGAACAATCATGTCATTTCAAACAAATCTAATTTCTTTAAATAGTTTTTGAATAAATACCATATTTATTCTTATAAATACATGAAATTCTTAAGGGAGAAAGCTCATATTACATTCTGGAACTGTCTGACTTTAACACATCAACACTTTTATAAATAGAAATTGTGTTCATTTCATGATTGTCTTGAGAACGATGTTGTTGCTTGTTTTGTTTTACTTCAGACTGCACATGGATCCAGATTTATTTCACCACACGGCAAGTCATACAAGGACAAAATCAAAGTGTGGTTGGGTGAGGTGGGGTGAGGGATGCGGTGAAGTGGGGAGTGTTATTAAGAATAGAACCAAATAAATATAGTATTGTACCTAGATATTTCATTAAACGAGACTAGAGGCAACGCCCACCAAGTTCGGGCGAAACCGGTCGACAAACCAATGAATTTATTACCCTGAGCTTGTTGCGATTGATATTTGTCTTAGATATTCATATCTGTATGTGCTGTGCATTTTGAAACTATCCTCACTAGTATTCAGTTCAGGAAAGTAAAAGCAACATCCAGATTTTAATTTTCATTCAATATGTGTTGTTCAATATCACCGAAAAAATTTATAGTATGTAAATTTTGTACAGGACACAAACTTCAATGAACTTGATATTAATTTACCTGTCAGAAAGATCATTCCTCGTGTCCATTTTCCTGCACCAGCCAATTTGTCTTTAAAATTATTCAACAAAGCAATATTTTCTTGGTGAAGAATAAGACCTAAAACATAAGGCAGAATTCAGCTAAATAAAGTGTATTTGTATTATGTGGGTGTTTCCAGACAACCATTTCAACTTTATTCAAATGTCTATGTGCCAGAATTAAACCTAAAAAAAATTATATTTCGAGTTCGGAGTGAAAAATAACTTCTATCTAAATATGCAACTAGCAACACTGTCCTGTGTATTTGACTCTAGAACATGAAGAACTCACACCTTAAATTTGATCCTAATTTGACCGATTATTCCAAGACAGACTACTAACTGTGTATACAATGTAAGTGCTCGTGTCATCACCTTTTTGAGATGCGAGTTGGTAAAACTCCTTTGCTGACTGAACTGATAAAGCTAATGGAAACTCCACCAATACATGCTTTCCATGCTGAAGACTTTTCCTAGTGGAAAATGAGGGAAAATACCAGGAACATGAACAAAACTTTTTAAAGTAAGACGTAAATTTCATTCATGAGAATCAATCAGTTAGATTATTATAGAGATAGATCTCTTTTAATTCGCATCAATCAAAAACAATGTAATTTCTAATTCAATTCTTCATATTTGAGCTTTTTAACAATCAAAACATATTTTGTATGATAGTCTAAAAACAGGACAATATTTTGTCAATTATTGCATGCATCCCAAAAAAACAAACCCAGGATTCACTCATATATGCATTATTTTTGTATACAATAATGCAATGTGATTCAATTTAACCTAGGGATACCTGACTAAATCTTCATGTTGTTCATTCTCTGTACAGATGATGATGACATGGACATCCTCATTGCCTAAAGCATCCTCCAGATCAAGCTTCGTCACTCCTTCTATCTCAATGTCTCTTCTATCACCACAATAGAAAATCTGACCGTTACAAACAAAGTGTATAGAAGTCACATCAATACAGGTAAAGGTTTTCACAATATCTGTTTTATTTGCATTGATTCTGCTGAAGTCAACATGGCTCAAAAGAAAGCTTTGTTAAAACTTAATTAACTATTCATCGTCAACAGTGTTCCTCATTTTAAGGAAATGGGATGGAAATTAAATGAGAGTTACACCAGAATATGAGCTTTTCCTTCCTTTGCACCTACAGGTGATCAGTATATTGCCCAGTTATCTCCCTTTACCTTTAATTGCCCAGTTATCTCCCTTTAACTTTAATTGCCTATACATATGTACATGCTTATTGTGTAATCTCCAATCAGTTTAATTTTCAAATGATATGGGGAATCTGGACCTTCTATTATATCCTCTATCTCATGTACTGCAACCCTAATTTCCTTTCATCTATTTCTTTCATCTACAGATGTTTGGATAGAAACAATTAAAATTCACCTATCTTCTATAACTTGAATCTACACAATATCAACTCCCTTTTATAAAAGTTGAAAGTCTTGGGGAGTTCCTATGTATGATTCAAGAAGATAATTTTTAATTTTATGTGCATGAAATAAATTCTTAATTCAAATTACATCAGCCAATATTTCACTGACTGAGCTATCATGAACCCTGGACCAGGTAAACACGCTTTGTTTACTAACATTAAAATGTGAATAGCAATTTTTTCTGAAAATCATGTTCTTTTCCGAATATAATGTTGATATAATGGAATTCTGTTTTTTTTTTTTTTTTTTTGATAATATAATGATAAACTTTATTTATTTTACAACAATTGTGAAGCAAGTTTTTCCAACTTATGTTAATCACTCTTGTTGGCTCGTATGTAAGTGCGCGAGGGGTCTTAGTGCCGGAGGAAAACCCACGTGGTTGGGCAGGTGACCCCATACTTTTTCACATCCACTGTGTGAATCAAACCTCGACCAGCTTGGTGAAAAGCGAGTGCATTACCACTGCACCACTCAACCACCCAATATTGAATATATTTTAAATATGGAGATAGAGGCATATGTTCGCTTGTGTTTATCTTATCTTATCTAATCTAATGTTAAATACATTTTGTGCCATTAAGATGTAAATTACACAATTGATTCGGCAGCAGATATATCCTTTCAGGTGCCCTAAACTTCCCTTCATTTGCATTTACCTGGATACAAATCCTTTGATTGTCCAGTGGCAGCCTTCCCACTGAGATGTAGCGGAGAGGTCTCGGATTCTCACTCTTCCCGCTATCCCAATTCCAACCACTACCACTCCATATGGATTGGATGCTGAGCCATCCGCCATTTTATTTTTCTGGTTCTAGAATGTTTTCATCTGCAAAATGATAGTAAGGGCAGATGAAATAAAACAGTAGTCAGTATTACTATCATCAGAGACTTTAGGAAAGTAAAGGCTCATTATGTGGTTAGTGTTTAATTCCAGATGTTACTACTGATTCTTCTTGATTATCAAATTATCAAATTGAAAGCTGAATTTTTCAGGATTAGATATTATCATCTGATGTTAAGTGAAACAAACATGCTGGTGATTGATGAACTTTCCATAAGTACATCTTGATCAAACATGTTAAAAACAAGAGCTATCTGAGAAGCGCAGAGCTTGACTGTCAATGATATACACTGTAATTCAATCATACAAATATTCAAAGACTTAAACATGTCAATACTTACATCAAAATGTAGACCTAGCAAGCACTTAAAGTTCAAAAACATTTGATTATTCCATCAGCTTCCCCCGTCCCCAACACCCAAAGTTATGAATAGTATATATGGAGGTGTAAGTAGAGAGTTTTAATATCATATCAGCTTAAAGGATGACATACCTGGAGACCAGTTAAAAAAGTAATAAATTTCACATAATTTTCTCTATGAGTAAATATGGACTCATTTCTAAGCCAAGAAAATCATACGATATCACATACACATTAAAACAGGTCATGCAATACCTGTCACATGGTAAAACAGAATAGTTTATTTAAAGCTATGTTCATTCTGACGTTCTATCAACTTTTTTATACTGAATTCAGTAGATTAGTTTATCTGATACCAGTGGTAAGACAATATTGTTCTTGGCAATGTGCCCATCGATTATCTATTGCTGTTATTAGAACTCTGCAAACAAATAAACCACATTGTACATGATGTAACAAGCCCAGGCCCTGACTTCGGGTCAGGGATAATGTTTTGGTCTCCAGGGCATTTTAGGAAAGATAAAGTAAGTATCACTCTCCTAAATCTGACGCCGGATATCTAAATAGGTCATAGCCAAAACAAGTGCAACATAATAAATATCTCATTCTGTACAAATAAGGGTTTACAATATGCTTAAATCCTACCCATGTACTTTACAAAAAGGTAAACTTTCAGTTTCTTTTTCAACAAAATTGGAACAGGCTTGTACATGATGGACAACATTGAAGTGTGTGGCAGACATCCCAACTTCTTTTGAATAAAAATCCTGATTTTTTCAAAAAATGATAATGATGGCACTCGGTGCAGAAATTTTGTCAAATCTGAATCTAATATAAGGTCTTAATGACACACAGTTAATTATAAAAAAGGCAAATGAAGATGATTCACATTGTAAGTAACAATACTCATGATTGGTCTCAAGAAAAGTCATTTTTATATTCATACAATGACACTGTTGATCAGTTGGATGACAAGCCTAACTTACATAACAAGGTATTTTAAATTGCATCATAAATTTTACATAAACAGTTATATCATCAAGGGAGATAATTATCAACTTCAACAGAAGCACCGAGCTATAAGATATAAGGACTGTCAACTAGTCATTGAGAGCAGTGTCATCAAGATCACACTGGATCTGATAATATTACTGGGGAGGGTGGGAGGTGGGTTGGGTGGGTGGGGCACATATATAGTTACTGGTATCTGAAACAGTGGATATTAATGTAGACACACTTTCAGTTTCAATTGCTTTGACACTGAAAAGAAACCCGAGACCCTTTCAAAAGCAAGATGTATTAAACATACAGTAAATCATTGCTTATAGAATTTAACTCCAAAATCCCCATTAAATGATATGTTTTATCATTGATAACATTTTGGTTATCATCGTTACATATGCTGAAATTTATATTAACAAAGTCGCTTTTCTTTCTGTTGGAATGAATTCCTGTGAATGATTTTGAATAGACTATGAGCATGGAAACATAACAATAATACAATATTTAGTTAAGATTGTAATATTTTACCTACAATTTTTAATTGAGTGTGAATTTCAAATTTATAGTACATATATATAATGCTAATAACCTTAAGAGAGCTTAAAAAAATATGATGCAACATGTTGAACAGATTGTCAAAGTACTTATTTATTTTATGATGTAACAAGAAAAATAATATTGATTTTGTCTAACCTCATTGCTGGTTGCATAAATTACCTAACTATATAGTGGGTGCTTTTTTCCGGTGTTTAAGGCTTATTTTTCTGATGTAGAAGAAGTCTTGTTGGTCTGTTTCTATTGTAAAGTTTGACTCCCTTAAAACACCGTGGGCTGGTATAGTGCACAGCTTGTTCAAGAATGGATGAAAAAGTGTCTACCCAGGTGGATACAGTTATTCTGCGTGGAGATCCTCAAAAGGTTCATATACATGCATCTGTCAACTTGGGCAAACGAGTAGCATTTTGGTTGATTGTATCATTGTATGTTACAGCATACATGTTGGTGTTGACTGGAAGGTGAGCTGTCATCATGATAGTTACTATCCATGCCCTGTTGTCACCAACACGAGATATATCACGTAGCCCATGTGGTTTACACTCCCATACCTACATGTATATGTAAATACTTGGCCCTTCAGATGCCTTTTGCACTGAGAAGATCATGTTGTGTTCAAATACTACAGGGTCTGGCTACTGCCCTACTCGGATCCACACATTAGTTCTAATAAATGCATGTGCATTGTATTTGTGCATTTAGGTTGAAGAGAGACAAATCAAGAACCAGTATTGGCTAAAATTTCTGACCATGGGCTATGAAATGTGTCATTGAAGTCCTTGTTTGATTATAATTTACCCCTTTCCTTGCCTATCAATGCACAGGTACCTACCTCGTGCGTCAGTATGCTAGACGAGGTTGGTATCTGTGGTCAATGCACTACACAGGAAATAAACAGTAACACCATCACATTCTCAATACGTTCACTGTCACCAAGGACCTAAGCATAGGCTTACCAACGTCTTGGAAACTTGCATGTATGCAATGCCAATCACGTGTATATGTAAACACTGAAACAAGGGAGGTAACTGTGCTGAACATGATTCTGTGGACACACAACAACTTAGCAGGGATTAAGTACAGGAAAACGATATACCACACCAAACATCACAAATTAAAATGCTGTTTTGGAGCATCATTTTTCTGTGGCCCATAATATCTAATTCAGCATGTTTCTGAAAAAGTAATTTTTGAAAAGAACATTTTATTGAAAATTATATTAAAAATAATAATAATAATAATAATAAAGCAAAGCCGAGCTCTTCTTTTTTTATATCATGAACACCATTCCGAACCATTTTTCAATCACAGCATGGATTTAAGTCTCGAAAGATACTACTTTCGGGACATTGTAAAATGGAACATTTAAACAGTCATTTTTTTTTTCAAAAGTACATTTTACGGGTTGCTATGTAGATTTGCTACTAATAAATATATCTAAAACATAAAAATATTGAGATTTTTTTTTTGCCTATTATCTCAATATGACTCTATTGCATTTTATCGAGAAAGGAAATTTGCTGGAAGCAAAGATCACCTCGAAAATAACCTAACTACCTGTTATTCGCTAAACTATTTCAAAATTTAAGGTATAAGCGAAAAACATAGTTCTTATTACACATATTTTGACTCATGTAGCGATTAACAATTACATGTCCTTAATATGTAATTACTTTCATATCTGACTGAAATCAAATGAGAAGATACCTGATCTAAGGTCAAAGTTCAATGTCATATTTAATGTATTCACTTGCACTTGTTCTGACATCATGAAAATCCAATGAGGTTTAAGGTCATCAAGTCAATGGTCTAGGTCAAATTTTGAATATTTCACAGATGAAGATTTTAGGTGAAATAACGGAGTCAAATTAGATTTATTTCATTGATAGATATTGTGTTATGACATGAGGATTATAATGAAAGAAGTTGTCCGATTACAGATTACGTTTACCAATTCAAGAATACGGATGAAATCTAAAATATTAAGTTATATCGACCAATTAACGAAACATCAGCTCTATTTGATATTCAGGTTTAGAGTCTGATATCACGCGGGGCTCTTCCTGACGTGTGGCAATGCTCTTGTTTATCTCGAATTGAACAAAGTTTGTATTCGAAGCTATGGCTAACTTGGTTGACATTGTAATCCTCATTTCGCCAAGAAAAGTGCACGTGTTGCCCTACACGAATATAGAACGGCTAGGCTGTTAACGCAACACGGTTTTCATCTGTATTTTTTTTATAAACATGTATACTTGGTCTCTATCATTGTTTATTTGTATTGGTGTATTTAGTCTAACAGTGAAAAAAAAACAAACTTAGATACCAGCAATTATCTTTCTCCAACAGTAACACTCATTCAGTGTAAGTATTTTTCGAGGATGTTTATTGAACATTAAGTCTTTAGAGTTCAATATATTTTTAGTCTCACAGTAGATACCCTGCAAAATTGCACGGTAAAATCCATTCAATGTAAGCATACGATCTGATTTCTGCAAATTTCTATTGAATATTGATTACTTTGTGTTTTGTATATGTTGAGTCTCATAATAGATACTCTGCAACACTGGATGCTTGCCAACGGTAAAACCCATTTAATGTAAGCATATGACCCGATTTCCAGAGGATTTCCACTGGCTGTTCAGTCTATAGAACTATATATATGGTACTTTCACTTTCTCTCTCTGCACCCCTAGATCATGTCATGGTAAAACTGAAGGCACGACCGATCGAAGTAATTTGATTAGTTCCAGGAGAAAACGCACCAAGAATATTTTTGTTTTGAAGTTTTTAAAAAAGACATTTAAGACGTTTGATACTATAGACTATTGGCAATACTTACTGTAAAAACAACACAGCACTGTACATTTAGAGTTATATTTTTAACTGCTTCATTGTTTCTTTTTCATATAATATCCAATATTATTTCTAATGTTTGTAACTGTATGTCGATTTTTTTCACATCATGATAAAAAGATGTTGATTAAATCACGCAACCGAAAGTAGTCTGTTATCATTGTTCCAATTTTAGCGGTCAATATTTGTCCAATGTTGAAAGGGACTGCATGTCTTTTGATGTTGATACTATAATGTCGATTCTAATAATCGGGATGAAAGTTCAACCGGTGTTTGATTTGACTCTTAACTAATTCCCATAGAAATGTTCAAAAGTTCTTTATATAGCATCATGTTGAAATCAGTTTCAAGACTGATACCCAAGTAGAAAACCCGATCCGCAGTCATCCGCTTGAGAAAAAAAGGTTTGCTGTTCAGCGTTTCATGTTACTGGAGTGTCCTAAAACAGATGTCAGAAATTAAATATTAAAAGGCGATACGTTACATATAGTCCTTTACTAAAGTACTATGAAGTATTGCACTGAATGTAGGTTAAAACAGGTCTTTTTCAACAGTTCTTCAATATGATCTGACATCATGTAAAGATGACGTTATAATTCAGCCAATGGATAGAAATTATTTTCTGTAAATTTCCATTTTATTCTGGGAAATTTATCGACATGACAGTTTCACTTTCATTTTTAAAAAGTTTTGCTAATGTTAAAGGATTTTGGCCCCAATTTTGTGTTTTGTGAAATTTCTGTAAAATCATAACCGAAAAAGTACTCTCACCCATGCAAAGTACTCCTTACGCACGAATGAAATATTGATTGAGGTAAGTTTGGTTTGTTTCGAAGGCGATATTTCAAGGACAGATCGAAGCTATTTCATGACGACATCAGATCTTCAATTACTTCCTGTTTTGTTTTGAAGTTCTTGTCAGTAGCGAAGAGGAAAATTTAGACTTATTGGACACATGTTTACAGAATAAATATCGGCATTTTTTCATATCTAAGAATTGCACTAAAATTAGTTCGTGATTTGACGTTGAGTTGTAAACGTCTTTTGTGTATTAAGTGTAAGATGTATATGATGTACCCGGAAATATATAAATATCTATGATGTACAGGTATGATATGATGTACACAGTAATATATAAGTACCTGAGATGTACAGGTATGATATGATGTAACCGGTAATATATAAGTACCTGAGATGTACAGGTATCATATGATGTACCCAGAAATATATACATATCTATGATGTACAGGTATGATATGATGTACACAGTAATATATAAGTACCTGAGATGTACAGGTATGATATGATGTACCCGGTTATATATAAATATCTGAGATGTACAGGTATCATATGATGTACCCAGTTACATAAAAAACACATTAATTTGAGTATGACCCGTATATATTGAAGCTGAAGCCAAATACATTTGTTCAATACATATTTATTACTAAATTACTAGACATTAGATTACAAACAACATAATGTATTAGATCACTTTTCACTTGGAAGAATTACTGAATATCGAAAGTTGAGATCAAACATGTACATAATTGAAAAAAAAAAGAGTTTTGATTTGAATTTTTCTTTTTTGTGTATGAAAATTATCCGAAATAGCCTATGATGGTTCTAGTGTTTGTCAAGTGTTTAATATCGATTTATTCTAGTAGGTCTTTGGTGGATACGCTGATCCGTCATCCGTGATGTTATTATATCTTTTATCAGGCGATTTTATCATTGTCTCAAATGTCTTCACACTACTTATGACGCCTTTTTCTGGTCTCCCGACGTTGTAAGCACTCTCCATCAGACATACTGTGGTTCCTGATGACCATGGCAATTCAAGGAAATGTTGTATTTGTTGTATTCGGGATGACCGGAAATTTTCCCAATTTGATGTTGTTCATTGCTATTTCTAACCAGCATCATGTCGAACTCAGCCGTAGGACTGAAACCAAAGTAAACAACCCGATGCGCAGTCGTGAACTTCAGAAAATTAAGTTTTCTCTGCGAGGAATCCTATTAAGGAAAATACCTGAAAAGATAAATACAAGACTTGAAAATAATCAGATAAGAATATATTTTCACTACAGAAATATGCTAAGGGCGAGAGAAGGTGGCCAAGGCTATTCAAAATCGGCGGATATTGTGTAGGTACAGGGATGGTGACGCCTTAAAACCATGAAGCAAAAACACCAAAAGATGGTAAAGATTAAGAGATCCAGTAATTGACATTTTAAATATTCAATTATTATAGAAATGTCATAAAGTGTTAATGATATAGCATAATATCTGACAGTAAATATCTAATTCATCATTTTTTTTACCTGATAGTGTAATTATATAACACACATGTGTAGAGCAAGGCTAGTCTTGCTTTGAAAAAAAGTGAACTATATTTTTCTCTCTACTTTTTATCAGCATGTTAAAAGAAACATACTGTCACTAAACGATTAAATGCCTTAATATATGATTGCGTCCCACATTCTCAGTACAACTGCTTAATAAACATCGCAGGGAACACCAGCTCAGTGACTGGTAATTAAATGTAAAGATATCAAGAGCAGACAATGAACTTTTACTTAGTTTAAGAATAAATAAACCAAAATTTTTTTCGTAAAAACTGAATGTAAATCTAAAAGCAATTATCTTAACCCATAGAGTAAGTTTGCCTGTTTATAAATGAGTTTCTGTTTAATAAGATCAGCTTGTTAACTACTCACTCCTGTTGGTCCAAATAGTAAAATTGAACCTAGATGTCTAAAATGTAGATTAATGTTGTAGTGCATTTTAGCTGGGAAATGTCGCCCCAACATGAAGCAGGAATTTGAGAAGCAAACACAATATTTTCTTTTTGTACTGAAAAAATATAATGTCAAAACAAATATGACCAGGACATTTCACAGACAATTTCCCTACACTATGACTATTTCAAGTAGATATGACAACCGAGTGACACCGTTTTGCAGCGATATACCTAATTTCACACATCTGATTTGTTTGGAATACTATCAATGGACCTGTTGGTTGGAATACTATCAATTGACCTGTTGACTGGAATACTGTCAATGGTCCTGTTGCCTGGAATACTGTCAATGGACCTGTTGACTGGAATACTTTCAATGGACCTGTTGACTGGAATACTGTCAATGGACCTGTTGACTGGAATACTGTCAATGGACCTGTTGGTTGGAATACTATCAATGGACCTGTTGACTGGAATACTATCAATGGACCTGTTGACTGGAATACTGTCAATGGACCTGTTGACTGGATTACTATCAATGGACCTGTAAACTGGAATACTGCCAATGGACCTGTTGACTGGAATACTGTCAATGGACCTGTTGGTTGGAATACTGTCAATGGACCTGTTGACTGGAATACTGTCAATGAACCTGTTGACTGGAATACTGTCAATGGACCTGTTGACTGGAATACTGTCAATGGACCTGTTGACTGGAATACTGTCAATGGACCTGTTGGTTGGAATACTGTCAATGGACCTGTTGACTGGAATACTGTCAATGGACCTGTTGGTTGGAATACTGCCAATGGACCTGTTGACTGGAATACTGTCAATGGACCTGTTGACTGGAATACTATCAATGGACCTGTTGACTGGAATACTATCAATGGATCTGTTGACTGGATTACTGTCAATGGATCTATTGTCATGTTCTGTGTTTGGCTCCAAGTCGAGCGATCAATACACATAATATATTCAGTTTATTCAAGCATTGCCAATATTGATCCTCTTTGTAACTACCAACAAATTTTTGTCAGTGTTCATACGTAGAGACGGAATTGTCACCTCACAGTAAGATACTGCAGTAAGATACATACTACATATGTCAATATCTCCAAAACGGATCAATCTAAGAGCACCGAATTTTATCAGTGTTCTCTTTTCCCTAAATAGTTGCTTCTTGCTGAATTTAAAAAAGAATCACTCCTACTTTTTAAGCAATCGTGTTAACAAATACTGCACTTCTGGTGCTTAAAACCCCTCAACATGTACTGTAAGCTATCTGGCATAAACATGACTAAAGTCTATCAGGAGTTGGATTTGATTCGAAAGACATACAACATCACTTACTCACCTGGATAGTAGGCTATAGTAGAAACTCTGCGGTAGAGGTGGACACCTGTTGATAAATGAAGGTTTGTATTGCGGCCAGCTCATTTATATATCGTTTGGGTTTATTTTGGGAATTTCCCTAATCTTTCATGCGTCAAGTACACTTCAAGTTTCACTTTCATTTTTAAACGTGTTCTTACTTGAATACCTGACAATATTGGATGAGTTGTTTTGTTTTTGTTATTTTTTGTTATGCCTCGTTCCACACATTTAAATTTCGTAGGAGGTAAATATTGATTGGTGTATATTTACATGCTTGATACTGGTTCTATGAACAAAAAAACACACAAACAAAAAAAAAAAAAAAAAAAAAAACAAAAAACAAAACAAAACAAAAACAAAAACAAAAAAACAAAACTGATATTCCAAGAGTCTTTCGTTGACATGCTCCTTTTAAAATGTCATTTATAATGACTTAGGGCAAACAACTATATTTTATAAGCAACAGGCAGTATATAGTAAAGCCAAATACTTGTGGGCGACTGGTGAGATTACTGGTAGATGGAGCAATGACGGCAAACGTATTTTCAGGAGCACTAGTGGGGCTTAGGCCCAGATCACTCACTTTAGTGAGGGATCATTTATTCAGACCCACCCCAACAAAAACATCGCGATACCTAATGCCGCGTCCGAACACTAGTATCCCAAATGAATTGTGATTTGTGTTGTATAGTAGGTCATTGTACACGAAGATATATATATATATATATAGAAAAAAACTTGATTTGACAGATGCGAGTAAATTATAAATAAAAATGATTTTTGACAAAAGAAGAAAGACGTTACATTTTGCACTAGCGCTTTCACTGTATTAGATCTTCAGGTGCATAGTAACTGTACATAATGGTGTGGCGTCACAACATGTTATCTGTTGATGACGTCATAATATAAAAGGGGCATAATTATATTTTGCAAACTTTACAATGCGGTTAAACATTAATATTCAAGTCTGGTTTTAAAATGTTTATAATTTCTGAATATATATATATATATATATATATACTTTAAATCTATTAAGTAATGTAATATATACAACAGTTAAAATATAAATATCCTTTATCGTTAGGTTATATATGGATTTAAATATATATACAAATGTCTTTTTGTGTGTGTCAAATCATCCAATAGAAAGATGTTAATGTACATTATCATACAGTGTTTTGCTTACCTAATCACTCATAATGTTGATTACAATACTATAAGATCACATGCAATAGACGTATGCATGGTTTCTTTATAAAAACCGAAATGCCAATGTTAATGAATGTCTGCATATGTTAACAATGAATATTATACTAACTGCAACTGTTACATCGATAATATGGTATAGTTAACATGATATATATGTGCACAATGAAGATTGTGATATACTAAGTAATGATAACTCAATCTTAATGATGAATTAGAATCAAACCGATACATGTGTGCTCATTGTATCCTTATACATATCAGCTACGGCTGTTTGTCATGTGTACAATAGTCTGTACATATGTAAATCTTTTAAATTATTAATTGAGGTAATTTCTCTGAATATCTATTGCGTCATGATATTCTCAGAGGAATGTTTAACTAGTGTCATATCCAATGATGTGAACTGGTAATACTGTTACATATATGCACGTTAGAATGTGCTTAAATAGCAACAGCTATTTGATTGGGACAAGGAAAGGTAAAAAAACAATTTCTGTTTAAGATGAACAAAATACTAGGACACACAGTATACCACTTTTTTTTATTTAAATGTAAATTTAATACATGTTGTCTCACTTACTGTTTATAATATCAGATAATATAAATGCGTAATGTATGTAAACGTGTTTCGTCTCTAGTCTTTCTTGTTTTTACCTAGCTAACCCCATCAGCTAGATAGTTTTGTATATGCAATTGCCTGTTTGATAAGCCTATTTACACATGTAAGTGACTGTCGTTAAAAATCCTGTCAATGCTTGCGGGTTGGCGTGGCTTGTATATGGTGTTAAATATGGTCTCTTTCACTCACTTGAAGTAGCATGCTTCTTTGACTCAGTTGGCAAAGCCGATCGATTATCAAGCCAGAGGCCCAGGTTTGTTGTGTGGTCGGGGCACTCGACACGAACGTGTATTTTCGCATTGGCGCTCAAAGAAATCCCACGAGTTGTGATATTTGGAGTCTCGGTGTGAAAATATTGCTACATTTATTTTTTTTCTATCAAAGATTGTTACAGTTATACTTTAACGTCTTTTTATCCAACATTTCTGTGCAGCAACAAAATAACTCCCCTTGTTAAACTACCATTCATTCATTTCTTCGCATAGAACGACTAAGTGTAGGCAAACCGGAAATGAACAATGGGGCCTGACAAATCAGTGCACAGATAAAACTTGACATCTTTTGTAACTTATTTGTTTCTGACAATTTTATCACTAATCTGTATGTAAATTATAGTATTATACGATGATGTATTATCATACATTGAATTTATTCCATGCTTATGCTGTTTAATTTGTAATGTATCAAGTATGTTATTCAATTGATGCTCGGGATTTGGATCTTTTAGATTAAGGTTAATGACCTTGTATAACGAGATTTCGAACGATCTGGAGTCTAGATATAGAAGTTCTTGAATTTTGATGTTAAGGTTTTGTAAACTAGAATATTTTATGACAAATGTAATTATTATCATGACATTCTTAACGGTCAACACATAAAAGCTCATTAGGGCCATCAACCGGTAAACACAGCGATCCAAAAAGGAAATAGCATCAAAAAACTTAGTTTTGGTTATAGTCATAGTCCACAATGCAGACCAACATCCTTCAGATGACTTTGAATTTTATTATTCTCCACAGATTCAAAAAGGGTCTTTAGATTTGTAATCTTTCGATAAAACATTTCTCGAGTAGACAGAAGGTCAATGCAGTCCAATAAAAAAATGTTTAACGGTGAATGGCTCATCACATCCTATGCACCGGGGTTATCTTCGCCTTTCAACAACTATGAATGGCCCATCCGAAGACGGGTAAGGACACTTTCGTCTCGGTGGCTGTCTCAATAGCATGGAGACCATTCACCGATGATAGGTCTTACGGAGTGCAATTTATTGTTAGTGTATTGATTCCTAGAGCTATTACAAATGTTTAATAAATGGTTTAAAATAAGTAATGAATTTAAAAAAAAAAACAACAGGTGGTAGCGATAAAGCTTCCTTTGGGGGCACGATCTGCTTTTTCCTTGCCTGGTATTCCCATGTGTTCAGCCGGCACCATACGCTTCATTTCGTGAAACCATGAAAAATCAACTTCAGGTGAATTCAAGAGCCAGGATGGAATTTCCAAATGACTAAATTTGGTCAATATCAATACTTGTGTTTTGTAAAAGAGCTGAAATCCGAATACCGAATGGTGGAATGGTGTTTTGTTTGTTTTGAAACAAGGTTTTATATTTTGGATTAAATAAAAGTAAAATGAAATTAAAGCAGGATTTGAAGGATTTGACTTTAACTGAATGGTGTATTACAACACCAATCTATTTCGACGGCTATATAGTGATGGTTCGTTAGCTTCTACATAGAGGCTTGCTGTAGGTGTGGTCTTAAAATAACCGAGCGCGAGTCTCAGACCCTGGTGATCACCAGTGTCTAATAATTTGAGACATGAAGATCATAGCAGATCCATACACAATGGAACCGTAGTCTGATTTTGATCTCATCACAGCTCTATAAAGTTTTAGCAAAACTTTTCTATCAGCTCTCCAACCAGTGTGGGACACAACCTTTAACATATTCAGTGCCGCCTTAAGGTCTAGAATTTAGACAACAAGGGAATGGGGTGACGAAACCAAGGTGCTGGAGTCCAGATGTCGCGACATTTAAAGTCTTACAAGTAGAACAATTGGAACTTTTCAGTTGTACATTGACTAACAAATAAAGCAAAAACGACATGTATTAGTTTGCTGTTGTTATTTCATTTATTTGTAATTGTGTGTAATGATGTAAGGCATGCACATATGAATATTACATTTGGTAATATTGTTAGATAACAACGATTTACTGTCTGTATTTTGACCAGATAAGCTACCACTCAACTGAACTATATATAGAGTCCGACGTCAAATCGCCATAAGGTTATCACCGCTGTGGCATTCTATTTATGCACATTCACCAGTGTAAGAGAGGAGCAGAGGGCCTGTATCAAGCAAACAACGATTTCTCTATCAATTTTGAAAAAAATGGCACCGCGGAAGGCGAAATACCAATTTCAGTAAAGTCATGATTTTTTTTGTTTTTTGTTTTGTTTTGGTTGCCCTGAACATGGTCACGGTTTGCCATCATAATGGTAGGCTCTAACTTTACGCTTGTTGCCCGGTAAAACCATGATTGATTTGCCCATGCGTGATTATTTAAAATCAATGAGTTCTTCTGCCGTGTCTGGCACATCTATGACTAGGTGTTAAACAAAGCACAGCCCAATTATTAATTAATACATCATATTTTGGTCTGTGCAATTTTAATTGTATCGGCTCATATTACATAGTGACAAATATTTATTTGTGTTGATG